GGCTGGAAGTACCTTAGACACCCTTTCATATACCGTGGCTGAGATTTTAGGTGGGGATACCTAAACCAAGCAGCATTTCCCCTAATCTCGTTCTGAAAGGTTGACTCAGGCTCTAGCTGTACTTTTTATGTATCTGACTTCCAGTTCGAGAACGTATGGAGAGAAAGCAGATCACTCTAGCTTTACTGCTGTAATCGTAGTAGCCGTTTGTAACCAAGGATGTTTACGTAGGCTTATTTTCCATACTCACTCCTACCTTCTTACATGTAATAGATATGCATATATATGTATATGTTCATGTGTTTAATTTAGAAATCTGTTTCATTTTTCCAATATTTTAGTATTTCATTTAACTCATTCTTTTTTTCCCCTTTCTTTTCCTTTTTGATGTTAAATCATCTATTCTATTGCAGATGCTCTTCTCCATGTCTTGATCATGACAACAGCAGGTGAACTTCTGCATAATTTCTTTCTTTAATACATTGCACTTCTCACCCACCCTATTTATCCTCCTCTCTTACCTCACTTCAGGATGCTTTAGTTTTTTGATAGTGCACGTTAGCCAAGAGGCTCTGACTAGCAGTAATAGTTACACTTGGCCCTATTTTTGTTCTTATACAGTAGGGTCCACTGTCTCCCATCTGCTATGCCCTCTATAAGAAAAGAATGCTGAACACATACTAAGTCCACTGCAAAAAATCTTAATAAAGCTCCTTATACATTCCTAGATTGTTTTAACCATTAATTTAATTAACAATACATTTTCTCTGTTGATGGCATGGTTTAATATTATTAAAGGAAGGACATCCCCCCCGCCCCCCAAGTAATCCAACACAAACCATTGTGGATAGGTTTAGTTTCAACTGTTGTATTACAAAGTGGGCCTTTTATCTCACTTGTCTATATAAAGAGTATTGCAGAGCTATTCCCTAAGCCATGTTCTCCAAATTGTGCCACCACGTTGGAACTAGTACAATAGCAGCACAGACCTGGTATATTTAATTTTTCATGCCACGTGCATTTTTTGTTTGACCTCGGTTAGCCAGTGGTCGAATCACTGGGACACTGCATCCTGCACAGAACACCTAAAGCAGTACCTTCCCAAAGGGGGTTATCTTCCCTTGGCAAACTGAGTGTTTATTGGCACGATACCTCTTCATCTCCTGTAACATAACTGTAGAAAGGTGAAAAACTTCTTAAATACTCAGCTGTGCAAAAATAGTAAATGGCGAAATCCAAACATAAACTACAAACCCATATTTTTAGGTCATGCCACTCAGTCTCTGCAGCTGACTAATGCAGTGAAGAGAACGTTACCATAAGTTAATGCTCTAGTGGCTTCCTGTGTAGGATCATGTTTTTTGTCCTCCTGGAATGTGTATTTTGCCTTGTTTATGTGTGGCATAGTTGCAGCCTGACGGAAAACACACGGAGGTAGCTGAATGACTTGCTATTGACTTCAGTGGGAGCTGGATCAAGGCCTTTTTTCTTAATTTTAGACTCTCTATCAGTTTTCCTTCTCCAGCTGAACACTTTACAATGGCTGAAGCACCCTGATTGTTTGTTTCTGCTTCTTCACACTGCGACTAACACTGAATGCTGCTATCTCCTTGTTTCCCAGTTTCTTTTAAAAATTAAGATGATGTGTGCAGAAAAGTTCTTAAACGTGTCTACAATGGATGTGCTCTAGTTAGAGCTTTCTGTTGTTTCCTGCTACCTGATGAGAGCATGTGTGCCTGCCTAGCCAGTTTGAAAGACTGATCATACCTGAACTGACCGTACGAAAGTGGTGGTGTATCGATTTTGCCTATTCTGGGTTTGTGTGTTCGAAGAACTGCTGCCTGTTCCAGAAAGACACTTCACGGTGCTAGGTTTGCATGGCTCTTCAAATGATTCTGCAGAACGAGGCGTGCGTTTGAGTGCCAACATGCTTGCGTTCGCAGCCGCCTGAAACTGTGACTCTTCTGCAAAGCTATTTACGTAACAGGGATTCTTCACAAATCACACGATAAGTCTCTTCTTTTACCCCCCAGCGCTGACACGTCAGGGTTTTTATTTAATTTGTTGATCCTGCCATTAGCTTTCAAAAGAGCACAGATATAGAATAAAACCAAGTTAATTCCATGTGAATAAAATCAGCAAAGGGAGTAACTCAGGCTCAGATCTGAAATACAAATATTTCATGAAGATACACTACAACTTTTTGTCCTTGTAAGGTGGATAAATCCAACGCACTTATATTGTCCGTGTTTTGTTCAAGTGGAGCCATTAGAAAACCCCTTGCTGCTTGCACTGCTCTCTGTAGAAGGCGTGGAAACAACCTGAAAGATTTAGGGGCCTTTTCTGTATGTCCTCAACCAGGAGGATGCAGTAGCCAATGTTATTTGCTGTAGTTACCTTTCATCTGGCAAGTATGTTGTTTTTAATTGCTCTAAAGAGTATGAAATGGCTTCTCTAATTTATGAGTAAGTATCGCTAATTTAGAGGAGAATGGATGATGCTTGATCTAACTGCTAGCCATGTGTTTAACAGAAGCACGTATAGACACCCCTGCGCTCTATAACTTACTCCTAGAAAAGAATCACTTTTGTTTCTTATTTTTTCTTAAAAAAGAAAAATATCCTGATTTCCCCTTCATTCTCTTTAAAAGAGAGAACGCGATGATTTCCCAAAACCTAACTTTTTTCATTGATTTGGCTGTTATATTGGACTGCCACCTTGCTAAATCACAGGAAAGCACAGAATCGATCCAGTCTGCAAGACTGTCAGGGTCACGTGGCTGTGTCGGTGCATCATTTCTGACCGAACCTTTAAAACAGACAGAAAATGAACCTTACTGAAAGGCTGCCTTAGTGCTGAGGAAGACGCTCTCCTTGTAGCCCTAGTCACCCTTGACATACAAATTCTGACTTTGCTGCTTTAACCCATAATCTGCTTTGATTTTGAATCATCACTTAACTGAAATTTAAGTTCTTGCCATGGGTTGCCAAGATAAACTGAGGTCAGAGCTGAAGAAGGATGCTTACCCTATGTATAGTGGTTATAGGAAGGACATTTAAAACATGTTCTGAAATAGACTTTTGCTGATGGAAGGTACATGTAATTTTGATGCGTTGCTTGATCAATCAGTTCCCTTGTTTTGGCCACCTTTGTTTGAAATGGCTCACAAGACTGCTTTCCTACTTAACAGCTGTCCAAAAGTTTTCTCCTGTTTGTGTTGTTTTCCCTCTCCTCAGTTTTAACTCATTTCACCAAACCAGTTAGTCCCTGCTAAGGTTTTCATGCCCCTATTATGCCATTTTTAACCCCTTCTGCAATTGTATGATATCTACATGGAGTTCCTGTAAGTTTCTTTTACCTTATCTTTTATTTTTAATATTATAATAAATGATCATAGAGGCATATAAGGCACATTTATCAGCCTAATATTTTTAGGATGCTTCCTTTCTTCTCCTCCTCTAGTGATAATCTGTAAGAGCTTTCTGATTCCCTTTAGTCCCTTTTATTAATATTTTTTTCTTCCCCCCACCCCACCCCCCCTTCAACTCTTCACAGCCATTTGTGTTTCTCTTTAATGAGCCCTCTCCTCTTCGTTCTCTGTATGTAGGTGGTTGGTAGTGCTTGTAGGAGCGCAGCCTGCGGTTGGAACACGGAGTGAGCTCTGAGTTTCCTGCTTAGCCAAAAGTCCCTTTTTGCACCATCCACTTAGCAGGAGCAGAGGGTGCCCAGTGCCCTTTGCAGGAGCGGGATCTTACGAAGTTTTAAGTCTGAGCAGGGAAGACCGGTGCAAAGGTTGAAGGGGTGCCTCGCAGGGGTGGTACAGCAAAGCGCTGTCTCTCTGCATGCAGTAAGAGAAGCACCCCCACACCTAAGCTTCAGGGAGTATATCAGTGATGTTAGGGTTATTCATACGCTAGTATTACGTATTATTTTCTTTCTGACCATGGGAATTTATAATGAAAGATGCCACTTCCCAGAGTGATGGCTTAATTGGCCAATTATTCCTGCTAGTTTTGCTTGTTCATTTGAGTACAATCTCTTCCTATCTCAGTCTTGTCACGTAACAACATCTGGTAAAAGAAACATTTGGGAGAGGAAAAATAACACGTACGTGTGTGTGGGCAACAAAATAATTAATTTGCATTTTACATTTCCTTTGTATTAGTCACACACTTTTTTCAATTTCCTAAAATGCGCATTTCAGAAAGCATGTTTTACGTCATGTATTAGTTTTGTATGAATTATTTGTGTATTGATACACATAGTCCTTCAAAAGAGCAAAGCTTTTCCAGTCCTAGAACAGTAATGTCACCATCCAAATGCCCTATTATGTAGCAAATAGGCAGAAAAAGAGGCTGCTATGATTCAGAAAATGCTTTGTTATGAAGTACTTGCCTGACTATTGCATATCCAAAATTATGTGAAATCTGCTGATTTAAAAAAAAAGAGAGATTAAGAGAATTAAGTGGATGAGACAATGAATGTGGCAAAAGGTTGGGAAATAAACAGGATGGTGTGGTGAAAAAGAACGTGGTTTTGCATTCTGTGTCAGCTGTACAAATCCTGCATCAGTGTACTATCCTTTCAGACTTTTATGCCACGGCTCTGGAGCCGAGGAATTTTCCCCTTCAGTTTCTTTCTTTTGCACTATATTCATGCTAGTTCTCCAAAATCTGTTTTCCAGAAATGCCATAGTAGTACGTAGCTGGTATTGTGAACCGGCCTCTCCATATTTAGTGTGATATTTGGCACTAATCTTTCTATGCTGTCCTTGCGCTGTTCTACGTTTGCCTGAATTTGCTCTCCAGCAGTTGAAGGGTACTTGCAGTCTCTGAGGTGGTTTCAGACTCATCCAGAAGTCACAGAGCCCTTCAGGAATCTTGCATTTCATCTGGCGTCTGTTTCAGTCATACAGCACAAATTTATTTTGTGTATAATGTGATGAATGCTCCTGTTTGCCAGATTGTGTCTCGTTATTTAGTGAATACCTTAGATCTTCTTTATGATAGACACAGCTGTTTTTACAGTGAATAATAATGATCATGTCCTACTGTTTTTATCCTAACCTTTGTTAGCTTTGTGTCCACCTTCCAATGCCAGTTTTTCCACTCTTTGGAGCAAGGGTTGGTTTCAGTGATAGATGACTGACAGACCTCGTGAGAGATTCGCTGTCAAACCTTGCTCTGACCCACCAGGCACATTCAGTAAACTGAAACTGAAAGAAGGAGCAGCAGCTTTAAGGCCTGAACACACACAGCTATCCCTCTGTATCTCGAGGGCTTACTAGAGACAAATGCCACGCTCCATTTTTAATTGATCTGTAGTAGATCCCAGGTTTTGCAGGTGTGGGAACACAAGGCTATGACTGGTGAGACACCTGTTTGTTATAGATGGTCAAAATCAAAGACTACTCCTCTTCTTCAGCTTTTATATGGGTTCTACACTACAGGCTTGTTATCTTAATTGTGTAACGTGGGATTTAAGAGAAGGCACAAATATCTCAGCATTCTGCTTATCTTTTAGTTAGTCTGAAAGTAATTACTGTACGGAGAAAGAGCACCATATTGGAAGTAACAGAACCCATTATTGTGGTCAGAAGGGAGATTATTTTGATTCAGACCCTTACCTGTCGTGTGCATGTGTTCTTCTAGCAGTTAGCAGTGGTTTTTGACGTTGCTGAGACACATGGGGAGATAAGATAAGGAGGATATAAGGCAGACAGATGACCTAGCACCAATATTTCAGTGATGGACAGCGAAAGAAGGTGATCCTGTTGTTAAAGTATACAATCTTGAGTATAACGTCAGTAATGAAAATAATTGAATCCTAAAAATTGTATTGATGACAGCTTATACAATGAAAAATGTGGATGCTGATTTAATTCAGTAAGTGCACTTGTTAGCTTCTGGTAATGGTGGGGGCAGTATTTCTGTTGCTCATAGGATTAGCATCAAAATGTGAAACTCTTCTTCCAGCACTCAGTGTTATTAACTACCTGTAACGCACCTGTTATAATAAAGACTTGGCCCGATTCTCTGAAACATAATGCAGAACCGCTTTGATAACGCTACTTAATACAGTTACAGGAAAATTGTAATGCAAGCCATAGAGCATTATAGCAACGATTGAGCATTTAGTGTCTCTTAAGCTCTTCTTTCATCTATGCTTTAAAATGTATAAAGTATGTATTTCATGAAGGAAGCTCCCATTTTTCTCAATCAATCCCCAGGGAATCAAAGCTGTAAAATGTTTTCATTTTCTTTTTCTCCCCCTTGTTAAAACCACAGAAACACCAACCTCTAAGGAATGAGATAATGGTTGTACTACCCAGACTTTTACACTAAACAAAACCTAGAGGTATATGAATGGCCGTAGAATAGGAGACTGCATGTGTGAGAAAGACTGGCATCCGTGGTGCATGGTGTGCTTCTGACTGGCGCTTGTGGCTCCTTTCCATCATCCATCTTTCTGACTTGCACGGTGTGTTGAGTGTTGTGTTTTTACAGCATGTGGAATTACTTGTAGCTGTGTGGACAATGAATGGGCGCAATGTTTGTTGCACAGAACGGTCAAGGGGACGGTGGAAAAAATACCTGTATTTGTCACTCGTGTTATAAGGGCTTTTCTCTATTGCAGGTCCTTCAGTAGCATTTCTGCGACCCCCCATGTGATGATTCTATTTTAGTGGCTAGAAGTAGGCCTGATACCGTTCTGTCTCATCTACTCTTGTTTTCACTTCCAGCAACCCGACATTCCCATCCCACATCAGGCATGATTCTAAGTCATAAACCAGTAAAAACAATGGAAATAGTTCTACACCTTTCCCAAGAATGTCCCCAATCCTTGTAACAAATCTGTCAAAATCTCCCTGTTGGTTGTAGATGGAACTATAAAAAGCTCAGCATAAAACAAATCCATGAAATGTTTTTCTCCCTTTTAAATAAAAAGAAATAAATAAGATAATTTACCTTATGCTAGAAGAGGGCTCCCTGTAGATGGCTTTCTGCATCTGTAAGTTTTCCACTGCGACATTGTAGTGCTGTGCAAAGTAACACAGAAAACCAAAAATCTGTAAATAAACCTCTTCTAGAGTGACTGTAGCTATTGTTAGCTCACCAACATCCAAAATTTGTCCTCAAACAGTAATGACATGTTGGGATTTTTGTATAAATAGGTGGTAGCTCCACTGATGTATCACAAACTGTATCCACACACTCCAGAATGAAATTTGATTTGTTTTAATCCCAAACCATTTTTTGCTATAAATTATAGTCTATCAAATAACTAGAAAATTATATAGGTAACCTAAAAAAACCCCAACAACCTCTCCAAGCAGAATTGGCTTTATATTCTTGAGTCATAAATAATTTTTTTCCATAAGATGTATTTGCTTGTAGAGTATTTAAAGAGTGCCAACGATACCATATAGATGCTTGCAGGTACCGAGCAGTGATATTTGCCCTTGATTTTGTTTCCGATAGGCACATACACATGTGCTCACATTTATTAGTGACTGCTGGTATTTTTACCAACAGCAGCACTGTAAAATGAGACTTTCTGTGAAGAATTTGTAGATAGCAGTTGTCAGTTTAATAAATACATGATCTTAGCGTGATTTGGTGCTTCACATGGGAGAAAGGCTTTTTCTAACTGTACGTCCTGAGAAAGAGCTAAATTTACAAACGTAGTTTGTGACACGCGTGGAACATAACCAAAGGAATTTCGGTGTGTTTTGTATCTAATTTTTTCCCCTGGTTTTTCAGCTTCCTAGTTAGTTTCATGGTGGATGCTCGTGGGGGTGCCATGAGAGGCTGCAGACATAACGGACTGCGAATCATTATTCCTCCGCGGAAATGCACGGCTCCAACACGAGTGACTTGCCGGTTGGTGAAACGCCACAGACTGGCCACCATGCCTCCCATGGTGGAAGGCGAAGGTCTGGCCAGCCGCCTGATTGAAGTTGGACCTTCTGGTGCTCAGTTTCTTGGGTAAGGCATGCCATGTGGCCGAAAGGAAAGCGCTCAGTCTATTTTCGCCTGTTCGCAAGTTGCACTGAATTGGTTCCTTTTTCAAGACTTGAACAGAAAAAGATGTTTGTAACATACGGTAACAGACTGGTTATGTGAAAAATACAAATCAGTTGTTAGTTAACGGTTCCCAAAGCTTTTATGCCTTTTCCTTTGAAAACGGACATTTTAAGTGCTAGCGCTAAGGTTAATGTGCTTCCTTGGATATAAGTATTACTCAGTGTTGTGATATTACAGGGGGATAGGACCCCTTTGCAACCAGAAAAGGCAGTTCATACTATATTTAAATACTCGACATATAAGGCATGAATAGCACAGCACTGATGGAAAGCCCAAATGTAAAGCCTGTTGCGTACACAACACAAGTTACGGCTGCTTATTTTATAGACTTGTGTTATCAGTAATTGGGACTATCAGGGAAGCACAGTGCCTTTGATTTTTCTGGGGTTGAAATTGCTAAATTAAGCAATAGGACAACCCTGGAATTCTTTGGCTGTTTCTGTCGTCCTATGCTGCAAAACCCATAGAAAGATCAGACTCGTGTCTGCTGCCGAGCTTGTTTTAGCGATTTTCAGCTGAAAGCAGCAGTTATCCCCACTTTTTTCAGTTTGTTTTATCAACTGTTCTCCCTATCAACTGTGGCATCCAAAAGTGGATGATTGAAGGAACCCCTTCTATCACAATAAATAGCTTCATTCAAAAGTTGTAAAAAAAGTGACTCTGTAAACAGCAATAGTTTAAATCAGTTTCAAAACAAATCAGCTGCTTTAAAAGCCTATTATAACAGGCAGCCATTAGAGCCACTCTCTTTGTTAGTGCTTTTTCTAAAAGATTGAGCTTAGGGAGAGAAAAATGTTGGTTGGTAGTTTTTCACTGCCCGCTGCTTTTATATGGAGTAGGAAAGGAGAACATACCCAGGACGTGTTTTGGCTACCTCACTGTTGCTCTAATCTGGTAAAAAAGCAAGAGCGGTTCTGAAACACTGCGAATGTGATGCTAAGAGCAAGCCCACCATTCCTTTTGACAGACAGGATACCTCTTAATAGCACAAGTAACAGCAAACAAGCTGGCTAATGAGATGTATCACTTACTCTTTTTCCCATCTCGGTCGCTTTTAAAGGGAAGCAGAAAGAAAGCTGAAGAGCAGAAGAAATATTGCGCTATCACAGTCAGTCTTCCCATTATCTTTGTCACATGCAAATTAACCTTCCGTATGTCTCCTGCTTTCTTTTTAATGGTTTCTCCCTCTGATGAGAAAGTCTCACCTGAAAGACCAGGATATAGCACAGTTTTATTCATTCTCAGATCTTTCTGCCCTTCCTGTGAGTGTTTTTCTAGGTGTCGTACGGCAGTGATATCAGAAAATTACTGTACTGTTTGCAGAGGTGCATTCCAAGGTCCAAATCCTGTTCCCATTGAGGTCACTGCCAAAAACTCCCATTGTCTTCCCATAAGTGAGGAAAAATCCTGAATTTTCTGATTTTGATCACCCAATTGTCATCGCTAGGACGGAACCTTATTCAGTGTACAGCCTAATTCCACTCTGTGGACCAGACAGTGGCACTGGCGTTCTGGCACAAAAAATACATAAAGTTTATTTATGTTCTTTCTTTCACTGCTGCTTTGGATGTACTCAGTAAACTTCATCTGCCTACGGCTCCTCCCCCACTTAATGAGGGAGAAAGCTTGGTCAGCCGAATCCTTCAGCTGGGGCCTCCTGGGACCAAATTCCTTGGGTAGGAGAGACTTGAAACAAATTGATGGATGCTGACCTCCCCATTCTTCTCCTCCTTCTGCAATATGATTTTTTTATGTCATTATGCCCATGATATTGTCCCTTTCTATCATTTGAAATTTTGTATACCTAACCCTTAGTGGACCATTTTTCAACCCTTGTGGTATGTGGTTTTGTTTTGGTGGTATGTTTGTATCTTTTTCTTGAAGTACTGTGGCCTTTATTTTTGTTTTGGCATGAAATCTTTCTAGTTATGTGCTTGATGTCTGTAGCAAAGCAACCTGGATTGGGACAAAAAAAAAAAAAAAAAAGAATCTACTGTAAATTTTAAGATGTTTTTTGTGTCAAGGACTGATTACTCAATAAGTTATGTGTTGGATACTACCGGTGTAATAGAACACATTGCATTTACTATGTACCTGGTAACCTCTGTGAGTCCTCTAATTAGAGAAGTGTATATACACATATATTTGTATTTTCTCTCTTATTTCTAAGAGTATGTATGTATACGTATATATAAATATAGATATATGTACACATATATGTTGTATATGTGTGTGTGTGTATATATATGGATGCATACACTGATACACATATATTGATATTTGCTTGTTAAGGCAACAAGGCAAATTCTTATCTCCTATACTGAAATAGAAACCCAGATGATCTCCTCAGACCTCCGTAATCACTCCCAGAGTGTAAATCAGGAATAAATTCATTGGAATATGTAGAATTACAATGAAGTAAAATTGGCACAGGACACGATTGCCCACCGACTGCAATGAAATTATTCTGATTTGCACTAGTATAAGTGAGATCAGAATTTGTCCCACTATTCATATACGTTACAGTAGATTCTCTTTGAAATGAAGTTGCACAGGTTAACCCAGACAGTAGTGACACCTAAAATGAGCATGAGTTTTTCATGAATTTGCAAAACAATCACCAAATTCCTAGCTAAGCACTATTATCTTACCAAATACCATTCACACTGTGGAAAGAGGTGAATGCACTTTGTGATCTGTCCTGCAGCATTTACTGGGTCCCTGTAAAAATCTCATACGTGTTAGTGACCTACTAGTTTAGGATTATGCCAAAGTATTCCAGCGAAATAGGTAGAATTCCAGGTCACTTTGTAGCAGACTGAATAGAGTTGCTGTTAATCCTCTTTCTTCCTCTCTCCCGTGTGCATTTAATGCGCTGTGTTGCTGTGCCAGGCCTGTGATTGTGGAGATTCCCCATTTTGCTGCTCTGCGTGGGAAAGAGCGAGAGCTGGTGATCCTGCGCAGTGAGAATGGGGACAGCTGGAAGGAGCATTTCTGTGAATACACTGAGGATGAACTGAATGAAATCTTGAATGGGATGGATGAAGGTATCTAGTGTGATTTGTTGTTGTTGGTATTCTTCTCCTGCATTGCTTTTGTAACCGGGGGTAATAGCTTTTTACCATTTATTCTAATTAGCACCTCATGTTTGGTCCGCCTTAGAATTTCTGACATTCTGAATTTATTCTCCAGACACTTAGTTTCAGTCACACTGGAGCATAATCGTGTTCTCTGTACAGGAGCCAGGAGAAGCGCTGTGTACTTGTGCTTACTTCCCTTGCGTGGTCTGCTGAAGTAATGGGACAAAACAAAATCTACCATCGCGGAGTTGAGAATAGATGCTAGACTTGTGTTTTCTACCGCTCCTTTTCATAGTGTTAAACGAAAAGCTTCCATAGCAAACATCTTTCCAAAACAAGACAATTATCATACTAATCCTTTCCAAGCAGCTACAAGTGTGGGAGGAAATGTCAGTCACTCTTGCTTTCTGAGAGAACAGAATGGCCTTGAGCTGTTTAGGATCTGCAGAATTTGCTATTAATTTTGATGGTTTTTTTAAAAAAAAACAAACAAGGGTAAACAACCCAACTCACATACTTAAAGCTGAGCTCTTACTTTGATACTTTTTTTGATTTGGATTTTTTTTGATTTTGGAGTCAAGTTTCCTTGATGCTACTCGAGGGAGGCGCTAGTGAGAACATGTGAAGTAGAAAGGGCCTTGGACCAACCCCTTCGCTTGTTTGCCTGCTGATTTTGGGGATCTTGTCAATGTGTTCCGAGTTTGCTGTCTTCAGCTCCCTTCAGTTAGTTGTTCAGCTTGTCTGTCTATTCCTTCCTTGATTTCTCTGTTTTAGCTGAACTTAAAATACTGGGGTGTGTTTCCTTTTCCCCACTGATTTCTAGACAAAATACTTTTCTAAGTTGCAGTTAAACTGTGAAAAGCTTGAATGCATTTTGTAGTCCGCCGTATTATTTCTACGAAATTTTTGTCTTCTGACCATTTTCTCTTTTGGCCTCAGTGCTTGACACTCCAGAGGAGCTTGAGAAGAAACGTATCTGCCGCATCATCACCCGAGATTTCCCTCAGTACTTCGCGGTGGTATCCCGGATCAAACAGGACAGCAACCTTATCGGACCTGAGGGCGGTGTGCTGAGCAGCACTGTTGTGCCACAAGTGCAGGCAGTCTTTCCAGAAGGAGCTCTAACCAAACGAATTCGCGTTGGCCTCCAGGTACAATGAAACAATTACAAGGCTTATCTTTTTTCTTTTTCTTTTTTTTTTTTTTTTTAGTGTAAAATCACCTTCTTTGAATGGAGAAGCAGCATATTCAGCTTATCATGTTGTATGTTGTGGTCTAGAATGCTTCTAGTAAAAATAATTAAAAACCAACCAAAATCCATGCAAAAGTCAAAGCAAGTGGTAAAGCTTTCGGTATTCCAGTTTACTCAGATTCCTGTCTGTTAACTGTCTGTGTGATCTTGGGAGAAGCACCTAGTTTTGGTGATGATGATGGCATTAGTGTAGGTCTTAGAACGATTTCTTACACTTCTTATGAAAGGCATCAGAGAAATACAGTGTGCTGTAATAACTAGGTCAAATGTACAGATTCTCAGTGTGAATTAAACCAGCCTAACAGTTCACTACTGAGAGAGGGGCAAGTCTTTCCCCTCCCTCCACCCCCTCCTCCTGCTGCATGGACCACAACTCACCTTGGCCAGGGCTGTGCTTGTTGAAATTCCCTGTGAATAGCTGAACAGCTTACTAAAATACCTCAGAGCTTGTTCTAAGGGGAAAAAAAAAAAATAACTGTGACCATGGAATCATTTGCTGCTGGTTAAGTGAATTAAATTAATGCTGTAAAGGGTCTGGCAAGCACCAAGAAAGGGGGTAGGAAGAGGAGGAAGGTGTGGGAAAGTTGAAAAAGGGAGGTCTCCCTGTCTCACTGGCAGTCAGTTCTTCTGTCTGCAGATTTTCACGGGAAGTTGTACCATTTAGTGTAAAAACTTAAGGATTTCGTGGCAATATACAGACCCTGTTCTTTACACACTCATTAAATTCTTTTCAAGTGACTGTTCTGTTAATTGTCTGTTGCTTTGGAAAGGCTCAACCTATGCATACTGAACTTACAAAGAAGATTTTAGGCAACAAGGCTACCTTCAGTCCTATAGTCACACTGGAGCCCAGGAGAAGGAAGTTCCACAAACCCATCACGATGACGATTCCCGTCCCCAAGGCCTCCACTGATGGGATGATGAATGGCTATGGAGGTGACACACCTACTTTAAGGCTACTATGCAGCATAACAGGTAGGATGCAAATACTAGAGCTTTGTATGTGCATCTTGAAAGCATCAGTCGTCGTGGGCTGAATATGTTAAACGGATTATACATATGGAAACCTCGGTGAAAACCTGACTGGGATGAGAGGCTGTGAAAATAAACTACTTTCCAAACAACTGCTTTATAGCAAAAATAACATTTGTCATTTGGACTAACAAGAGATGTGTAATGTAATCATAGACTTCGGGTTTGGGGTTTTTTCCATTTTCCTTACAGTTTTTTTTCTTGAGAACCAACATACCTCTGCCTAGCGGAGTAAGCATAGTACAGACATAGTGTCACAGTATGCTTCAGAGGAAAATATTGGAGATAAACACTTTATACTTGCTAGAACTCCAAAGTGATCAGGGTCTCGTTCGGTCTCAGTTGAGCTGCATGCATTTATTCTCTTTAGAAGTGATTGTCTTTCTGAATTTTCAAACTGATCTCAAATACCAGCCCAATGGGAGCTGCATTACGTGCTGAGATGTGCCAGTGAGTCGTTCCGGGGAGCAGGTGCTCTTACAATTTCTTGATACAAAGGTGTTAGGGAGCTGCTGAAATACCAGAAACAACGTCTGGTCAACAAAGAAATATTTGCATTTCCAAGAGTGAAACAATGTTTGTTTAAATAGAGAAGAAGGGTCTTCTCTATAAAAAGGAATTTGAGTTTCTTGGAGGGACAGTAAATCTGCAAGGGCCCTCTAGAAAACATCAAAAGGGATATTGGTTCCAAGACTCCTTCACCAAAAGGAGAACGGAGGAATTTCCTGAAAACTGGTATTCCTTTACAGATACAACTTGATTTAAGGTTTGCATAAAGACTGTGCTATGGAGTCAAATCGAAGTCAGCTGTCTGGGAGAGGAGGGACAGGCACGCTTTCTGACTTAGCCCTGGTTATGCATAGTTTTTGATTTATTCTTCATGTTTCACAAATATTCGTAAATGCTATTAGAAATAATGACTTCTAGTTCTGTTTTCTGTAAGCTGAGTGTGATTTTAAGGTAGCTGGAAACCAACTGGATGTTATTCACCAAAATGTGAAGCAGGGACACGTATTGAAGAACTTGGAAACACAGCTGAAGGGTGACAGATTGTGCCCACATTTTCAGCTGCACAGGCCAAACAGGAAGCTGGCAATGTCTGCTGAAACTCTTAATAGACTGATAGGAATCCAGAAGGCTGTCTATTGTCCAGCGTGATGCGGAGGCACGCATTTCAACTGCAAGATCTTCCAGGGAGCTTGTCAGACACAGATTGTTTCATAGGTTTTCATAGCAACGTGCAAAAGAAATTTCCCAGTTATGTACATACTGGACTTCAGTCTTTGAATTATTTGAAAAGAAGTAGGTTATCAAAATCGTAAATTGTACTCGTCACTATTGGTAATGTCCTTCTTGTTTCCCAGGTGTAATGATACAGGTTTAACTGCACTATATCTGGGCCAATTTTTGCCCCACATATGTGAATAGCCTGGAACGAGCAGAAGTAATTTCTAATAAATTACATCTCCCCCCAAAAAAAATTCTAGCCTCTTTTAACATTTCTGTTACAGGACTCATAATTTGGAAATAATTTGGGCACTTTGTTTTCTCAGGGGAAACCCATACAACCCTACTAGCGTTAGTGGAGTAGCGTGGACCTAAGGAGAAGGCATGTCTGGGATAATTACTGGTTTCATAGCAATTAGAAACTCAAAAGAATGTAAAATATTTCTTAGAAGCAAGAAAGTTGCAGACTTGCTTGGTTTTAAATTTTTTTTCAAATCTCTGTCATTTCAGGAGGAACCACCCCTGCCCAATGGGAAGACATCACTGGAACAACACCACTAACATTTGTTAATGAATGTGTTTCCTTCACAACAAATGTGTCTGCCAGGTACCTATCCAACAAAACATGAATTTACAGTGTTACTTTCTAGCACGTGTCTTTTTTCAACAATTTCCTTTAGACTATTTTAGTTTCTATAGTAGAAGGAATATAGATAACTTTGTCTATGCTGTGGATGGACTGGTGAGGGAATTGGGAAGCCCTGAGCCTCCTGGCCCAGACAGATGATGTAGAAGAGCTGTAAGCCCTACAGTCCTTGCCAGCTGTGGAGAGAAATGTGTGTTCTTGTCATTTTTACCTTGGCCGTTAGTCCCTGGCAGTCTGCATCTGCTGTGATCCCAGAAATGAATTAATGACATACACAGTTTTTCTGAACAAGTAATCTGAGGGACAGGTCAATTTTCAGGTAGTTAGTAAAAAATCTGGTTTCACGTTCAATACCCCTGCTCTCCCAGATGCAGAAATATGTCAGTTTCCATGGAAACAGCAATCCCTTATTTGGGTGGCTTGTCATACATCTCATAAAAGATGTTACCTCCAGAATATGCAACAAATGAAAAATCCAGCAGAAAGGGCTGTAGGTGTACCAAATTGTGATCTAGAAGAATCTATTCCAATATTCCAACCATCTGTTCTTGTGATGAGATTCAACTGCTGTCTTTTGGAAAACAAAATTTCATATTTTAAAAAAAAAAAAAAAGTGTCTGTATGTTTTAGTTTGTACACTGTCTGTGATTTGTATCACAGAAACGGTTAAAAAGTCTCTTTCTCTGTAACAGGAGATGCAGTCCATGACATGGAAAGTATTAAATTTAGGGGGTGTAGTCTGGCAAACAGTTACAAAAATCTTGGATAACTTGCCTGTGAAAATCAATGAAATCCCTTCAGTGCAAACATTCAGTGTCCAACTATTAGATTAGGTTTGCTAATTAACAAAATAATGCATTCAATGTTAAAATGAGTTCAGCTCTTGCAGTCCAATCTACAGTATGACTTTAACATTGGGCAAAATAAAGTATTATTTTTCCTTTTTCAGTTCAGAAATGGCTCTCTTCCCATGAAGTTGGATGCTTTGCTTATGTACATTTCTTCTCATTTCAGCTAAACATTTTTCCTTTAACAGTAATGACCACAAGAGGGAGATCTTAAAGTGCATTTTTGCTCTCATTTGCTACCTGCAGTGTTCTGTTTAAAGGGATAAATTAAAGATTAATTTAAGAACCAGATGTGGAGACTAGATGCAAAGTTGAGAGGTCAAAGTCCCTAAAATTGTGAAGACCTCAGCAGGGCTACACATGAATACAGCCAGAGTAAGGGTGACAGTTTATGGAACTACAATTCTTATTAGCAGTGCGTATTTCCTAGTCCCGATGACGACATGAAAACCGATTGCTCTTGCTAATGTTCTGTGATACAGTCCGACATAGAGATTTTAATGGGTCCTACCTCTTCTTTTTAATCTAAATGAATGTTCAACAGGCTACTTTAACCCAAGCATGGTTTTAAATGCTGTTAGATTTAGACAATGGGATTTTTTCATGCGTTTACAGGCAGATGGTTAATTACTACCTTTGCTGAAGGACAAGCTAACTTGAATTTCTTCGCTTGCGCCCTGGTTTGAAAGTGCATCTGCCCTTGTGCTTTGCTGAAAAATCATCTGACTCCTGACCGTTTGCTATTCACAGTAACTTGTTTAAGTCTAGTTAAGTCATTGATGATGGAGAACAATTTTCCTATTTGTAAGACTAATTCTGTCCAAAGCTTGGGAAAGAGAAACACTTGTCTAAAATGCATGTGAAATAAATGGCAGACTTGGAGGCATCGCTGTTTTCCATTTCCTGAGCTGCAGCTTTTTGAAAAATTTAGTATCTGTTTGGGCTTTTTAGCCGCTGGTGTGTGACAGCAAATCATTTGAGCATATGGTGATTTCTCAGAGGATACAGCCTCTCCGGTTTGCGTCCAGCATAGCATAATTCTCCCACACGTGAAAAGGAAAGTATCAGTATGCAGAGCCTTTATGTACCAAACATGCTTTCTCTCTTTCAAATGCCATCAGCCTGTTTTTAACCAGTGTGTTTGTTAAATGTTCTGAAGATAAGCACAGCATGAAATTCGCTGTTAGTCAACTGCAGATGAGTAAGACCAGAGAAATCACACTTGAAAGGTATGCTTTGTAGGTTATAATACCATGTAATCTACAGTAAGTAATAAGCCCCCTGTAGATTATATCAGCTTTTGAGGTGTCTTTGACCTCTCATGACTCCCGGCTCCATCCTACGGGTGTCAAACTCAAGCGTGCTTTCCACCCACACAGTGAATTTTATTTAAAAGAAATGTCAGCAGCTCCACAGAGAACCTAAATGAAGGGGTATCTGAGAAAGAAGGCAGTACGTGTTACTCCTTGGTGCGTTTCTGCTGTTACATTTTGGGAGCAGAAGTAAAATTTTTTTAAGTGAAAGTTGTAAACTTTGCAAAATAACAATGCAGTCGTCTTGACAAAGGCATAAGGAAATTCTGTTAATTTTTATTACCGGGCAATGTTGTCCTGACCTGAACGGCCCAAAGAAAGGGTAAAGAACCTGCAGTTTTCATTAAAGAGGAGGGTCGTTTTTGACACAAGAGGACCTGTTTGGAAGCCGAAGTTCTAGACCTGAGTTGCAACATCCACGGTATGTCCTAAGTAACTCTGTATGCTTAATAAGTTTTGAGGTGGTTTGTTCCAGTTCACATGCACTAGCAATACCTCGTAAGAGGCAAGATGGGAGAACATATAATTTTCTTCCTTAAGTCTTTCTGTGCTGATTACACAACTTTTCGTTTTCTTTTACAGATTCTGGTTGATAGACTGTCGACAGACACAAGAATCTGTTACTTTTGCTTCCCAAGTGTACAGAGAGATTATCTGTGTCCCCTACATGGCCAAATTTGTGGTGTTTGCCAAGTCACATGATCCCATTGAAGCACGGTTAAGATGCTTTTGCATGACAGATGACAAGGTGGATAAAACTCTAGAACAACAAGAAAATTTTGCTGAAGTTGCCAGAAGCAGGGATGTAGAGGTACTGTACAAGAATATTAGTCTTCTCCATTTTCTTATGTATGTTTTAAAGCTAATATTTTCTGCCTTCTATCTGCCACAAGTACCGAAATATTCTAGTGCCAACAAACACTGGCATGATGCAGTATCATGCATGACGCTAAGGTGGTGCATCTGCTTTTGTCAGGTGTAAGAGAAAAGTGTCTGCCAGATATGAGTGGTGAAATCCTAGTCCCAAGAGGCAGTCGCCAGTCTCTTGGTCCACAGTGCTCGTGGGAAGGTTAGCTATATTCAGCTGACTATTTGGGTCTTCCTGGGTCAACCTACCAAGGTGGAAGGTGATCGTGGGCTTCACCCACAAGGAAATCCAATCAGCTGATTATCAGAAGTCAGAAAGGAATTCCCTGTCTGGCTTTTGTAATACCGGTTTTTGCTTTCTCCATAGCGTGATCGGCATTCAAATGGGACATCCAGTGTGTTCCGAGGGCAGTCCTCAGCAATTAAAAAAATAGCTAGCAGGAACTTTAAGGTGGATTCAAGGAGACAGTAAATACAGAAGTGGGTTGGTTGAGTCTCTGTTAGGGGACTAAGGCTTAGAAAACCTATAGGACAAAACTGATTTGAAAGAATCTGGTTTCCCAAGATGCTGTATTATGGTGGACCCGTTGAACAGTGGTACTTAGAAACTGGACTGATTTTATGCCAGGAAATCAGGTAATAAAATGAAGTTGGGGGCTACCATTTAGTACAGCAGTTTCAGGTTCGTTGTTCTCCTTTTCTCTGGTGTCAGGGTCAGCATTCAGATTCAGAACTAGAGCAGATACTGCCAACTAAGTATTATGAAATCCACTTGAGATGGCCAGTTATGCGAGCAGGAGACATTGCCCGTGGCTTTTATTAAACAAAATGCTAAAATAGTCTGTAACAATTTTGTGTAGCTTGGCTGGGGTTTCAGGTGCACGATAAGACGTAAGTCGCCCAACAGCGAGCTGAGAGGAGCAGATGGGTTTTGTAAATGGACTTTTTACTCAGTTAACCTAAAACTTTTCATATTTTATGCAGGCTAGCCCTAAGGCTAGCCCTAAGGCCAATCCAGGTACCTCATAGTCATTTCTGTGGTGATCCACAGTGATTACTTAGTTTTAATTAGCTGTGTAGCAAACTGCCAGGAGACACCTTGAATTTTTTAGTCACTAACTCAGATGAATGTCTCAGTAAAGATGAGTTTTGAGGGTGGTGGTCTTTGAGGAACTGTTATGTTCCTGGGCCTGACACTAAGTGGGCGTTGCCAGAAAAGGGGAGCTAGTCAAAGCCAAAAAGGACAGGTAAATCTCAACTTCCAGTTAACTCCGTAAATGAATATCACCGAAAAGGCAGTCAACAGTAGTCAGGTTTTGTCAGCATCTTGGCATACAAAGAAGTTAAACTAGCAGGTTCGAGTGATATTCTGCTTTACCAAAAAAAAAAAATAAAATTAAATCTGTTGCTGAACAGGCAAAAGCTTTCCTACGTGGAATCCAGCGAACTTCCTGCTAAGTGCAGTTTTTCTGGCTCTGTCAGCTTCCTCAGAAGGGATGACAAATTGAAAGTGCTTTAAATAGATGCATGGCATATTCTTCTGCTTAGTATGGTCTCTTTTCCTTGAGAATCCCACCTTTAAAAAATTTGTCCTCAATGTTCCTGAAGCTCTGACGGGCATTTCTTGTGCAGAGCAGCTAGACTGCAGGGAGATTAAACACAGGTAATTTCTGATTTAGGAAGTTTTTGCATTGGTAAAGAAGTCCTCTGCAACTTCATGATATTCCAAGACTGGCATCTTATCCTACCAGTCAAAACAAGGAGTTTTGGTTTGATTGCTGAAGGAAATATTTCTTGGACTGTTATGATAAGGCCGGGTTAGCAAAGTGTTCTAAAATTACAAGTAAAAAAAAAATTCCAAATAAAAATATAGATGGAGAATTTGCCCAGATTCACAATATTAAATACTCATTTTGTCATTTATAGTGTCAGACTATTGTTACCGAATTAACAATGTATTCCACTTGGGACTTAATAATCTGAAATGTTTCCACAGATTTTAGAAAACTGTACGTAACAAATCTTGTAAATGCTGACAAGTCCAAGCAATTTAAGAAATCGATCAAACCTACTGTAGAATTATGCTTAAGAAGAAATCCTAACCACCTCACTGCGATTAATTGCTGCTTTGCTGCTTGTTCATTTCCAACAGGTATTAGAAGGAAAACCCATCTACGTTGACTGCTTTGGCAATTTGGTGCCACTAACAAAGAGTGGGCAACATCATATATTCAGTTTTTTTGCCTTCAAAGAAAACAGACTTCCTCTCTTTGTTAAGGTAATGTTATCAGACGTGCCTATGGATTGTGGGGTTTTGGGTTTTGTCTACTTCTGAGTTTGCAATAAACTCAGCAGGCTGAAGAACAGGTCCAAATTACTTTATTAATTAAATGTTGACTTGAGTAGTCAAAACAACCATAAGTGGCTACCTAAAACTTCGTAAAATTTTTCTCTAAATATAATTACCTGTGTCTGTGTTCTGCTATATATATGCAGGTGTCCAGAGCATTCCTTCAGAGCCCAGAATGGTACTTCTAGGAATGCTGTTCCCTACCTAATAATCTAAAGAGCTGATCAAGTCTGATGTTGTTTTTCTTTATCATGGTTCAATATATTGCAGGAAAAATGCAGAAATGGCAAAAAAAAAAAGTCAGAAAACATTGTAGAATTGTCAGAAATCTATCAAAATATGATTATTGTGCCCTACACTTGTAAATATGCATGTGGCTGTAAGTACAGGTAGGACAGTTCTTCAACCAATCCTCCTCCCTTCGGCAGCAATGCAGAACTTCCTTGGGGGTGCAGTAAGCAAAGCCTGGCTCCTTTTCAGCTATTTCAACTTACGGTTTTACCGTATTTTTGAGAACAAAGGAAAAAGGAAGCCATTAATTTTGATAAATTCCTCACTGGAACCTCATTTTGTCCCTGCAGTGTTTTATTTTAAAAACTTTTATGCGAGTAGGAAGGTTTGTAAAACAAAAGCCAAGACAAACAACCTCCGTTCCTCCGCAATTAACCGATGTTTTAGCCCTAGCTTTAGAGCCAGTGGCACAAACACCGTGGGCTCGTACAACCTCCGTTCCTCCGCAATTAACCGATGCTTTAGAGCCAGCGGCACAAACACCGCGGGCTCGTCTGCGTCGTCCGTGAGATCTGCAGGGAGCAGTCAGTCATGTAAAAAATCGCTCTCACTGTGGTCTGTGCTAGCAGCAGCGAGGGCTGCTGTCACCGAGCCACCGTCACCTCCTCTTCTGGAGAGAGAGATCCAGAGGGCACTGCAAACCTCTTCCCACAAACTTTTCCTTCTACTGGGACATCTCGGGTGCCCTATTAGCGTTACATGAAAGAGTCAGAGAGAAATGCTTTATGCATGGAAACTTCCAAAAAGTGGAGAAAATCCACCCACTCCCTCATTGCATTAAATTTGCTGTATGCTGCTAGACAACTTTGAAACTTGCTCTCTCCTTTCCAGCAATATTTTGTAAGCTTGTTTTAAATCAGCGCTTGATCTATGCCGCCACCTACTTTGCATATTTTTCTCCATTGTGTATTTTCCAAAATATCTTCAAAAGCATGTTGTATCTTTGCATCTAGTATTTTCAGTCTGATAAAGTTAATACTTACGGATGTAATTGTATCATTTTACCAGTTCAGAAAACTAAGAATGAGGTAATGCTTTCAGTTGTATTTCTTCCGTGATATTGTACGGGATCCTCCTGGCATTTTGTACAGAAGCTAAAACTACCTCACCAACAAGTGCTGATGCTCATTTCTACTAACAACTGTGAACGAGATTTTTCTGAGATTCACTGCAAAATCTTACAGTGTGGCATGATGTACTGTCACACCTATAGACATATTCCAGCAAATTCCATCATTCTAATATGATGTATCAGTACATTTGACAAAACAGTTTGCAAGAGAAGAAAAATGAAGTGTAATCTTTCACTATTTTCAGCCACTCAGCCAAAAGAGTAGCCAAGTGAACAAAAAGACAATATTTAATACAAAAATGTGGGGTATATGCTTGTGTCTTCTCTTGCTTTGATGCACAAATACCTCTGTAGGTACGTTTACAGACAAGCCTACGTGGACTTGTTCTCCCACATCTAGCCTCTTTCTGCTAAGTATTTTTTGACTGGCACACGTAGATCATGCAGCAAAATAACAGCTTAAACGTCAGTATGTTTGCTCTACCAGGTGCGAGATACCACTCAAGAACCCTGTGGACGATTATCATTCATGAAGGAGCCAAAGTCTACGAGAGGCCTCGTTCATCAAGCCATATGCAATTTAAACATCACTTTACCCATTTACACAAAGGTACTGTGAAATTATACTGATTTATAGTCACCAGCATTGTATCGTAAACAAGAACTGAGTAAAAGGGCAAGATATTGTTAAAGATGTGTAGTCAGGTATTTTAAAGAAGAATAAATACCACCCAAGGGCTTTCAGTTTCTTGGGTTTGGCACTCTTAAAGCCAGTGTTCAGAGATGTCACCAAATACTTTCTGAGGAATCGCAAGAGATGACAGAACGGAGACGAAAGTCCAGTTTGCACTACATAGCTCCCGTGGTTTCATTTGGTGTTGCGCACGACCTGTGCTAATCTTATTTTGTACAGCAATTTTACCCAGAGTCCGTCCAGGGGTGACCCAGGTGTGGGACTCCCTCAGTACCTCTGGGTTCATTTTTTGTTTTACCAAAGACTTCCCACACTGTCTAACCGTGTCTTGTGACACCGCTCTGGAGATGAAGTTACCGTTCGTACCTGTTTCACAACGGGTAAGGATAACGTCTGTAGATCGTACAATGTTCTTAAGGTGTGAGGGACAGAAGGGCTGAAAGTTACTTGTCATTTTTTTTTCATTTGCCAATTTGAAAGTTAATGGGCTTTGCAGTAGCATTTGCAGCTAACTGCCTGCCTTGTTTATCTGTGGTGCTAGTGATAAAACTGTAGCAGACTTGAGCTCTAGCATTTGGGAAGTTTATAGCAGTGCCGAAAATATGTTCTTAGACTAGATTTTAATATTACCTTGACTTTTGGCACTGACTTTTCTTCCTACATCTGAACAATTCCTTCAAGAATCTATAAGTACGTCACGTGGTGTAAATGGTCTTTCTTCAGAACAGTCAGTAATGTGCTCGGGGAAGAAAATGGTCCAATATCAAGGGCAGAAAAAGGAAAACTCTGGTATGAGTTAGTATTTGTAAGTAACAAGATGGAGACCAGTTGATTTCTCATAAATCATGGGAGTGCCCTTGATTTCTGTTGAAGTGAGATCAGGTTATTAAGAAGCACTTGTTTCCTTAGAAAGAGTCAGTTTATTGCTATTCTGTGATAACTTGGATTTTTTACTGTTCTTGTCAGTTTAGGAGCTGCATGCCTTTTAGGAATGTATTACGCTGTTTGCTCAAAATCTTGCCTGTTGGTGTTCATTTTTTCTCAGCATTTTTTGCCTATAATATAATCTTTATTATAGCATTTTTGTGTAATTTAAAGATAACACATCTCAACATATTTTAGCTTTCAATGGGTAATGTTCTTTTAACTATTTCAAGAAGTTATTTGTACTAATTTATGGGTGCAAAAGCATGTGTATATATTAAGTTTTGGTACAAATAAGGATCCCTAGAAGTCTAACACCCAGAAGCAACTTTTCTGTTTGTAATTTGCTTGAATCTGTAGCTTTTTGTGTTTTAAACTGACAGGATAGTTCTGCTGCTTTTTGACATCATAAATCAATTGCAGAAACATACTGCAATTTCTTCTTTTCTGTTAATATAAATATTGTCAGAAGTTATTTTTTCCCACTCTACTCTTCTGAAAAAAATTGCATTTTGCCTGCTCTGTTTTCCCCTTCTCTTTCTGCATGGCATTTCGGAACTGAAAGGAATCAGAATCAGATCAAGAACAAGAAGAAGAGGTAATGTTGCTATAACAGCATGTTATTGCTTATGCATACCACTAAAGCACAACTAACAGATATCACTTGGAAGATTAAATCTGTAGTGAAACAGTCCTATCAATCATTAGCTCAGGGCTGCAAAAGCAATAGAGAGGAGCGCACTTAAAAGGGTCTTGCACAGGGGAATTTAGAGTTTGATTTTCCATACATTAAAATTGAAGTTTTATTGATTCAGAGGCGCTGATTTTGCAGGCATATTATAATAGTTCATTTTGCTTTCCAAACAGTTCCTTAATAATTTCAAAATTATTTTGCTCAAGAATAAGGCACACAAGCGTAACTCTCTAAGCTTTATTCTCTGCGGCACAAAAAAGGGGAAATGGGACTGGGGTTTTCTGATTCGGAGAACCATCCCGCATCCTAAAAATAACGTAGAATTGCTGCTAGACTTGTCTAAACTATCATTGGCACAGTATGCGTTTTGTTATCACCCCTCAGCATGGTCTGAATATGCTTCCTCTAGTGAGTGGTGGTAGGTGGGGGAGAACGGAGGCAGAGGAACAGACCTAAATCCAACAATTACCGCCAGCAGCGAGTTCCCCACTTGGGTTGGGGGGAGTCGGAGACCAGATTGCAAATGAATGCGCTCCCTGTGTCCCTGAAAGGGCTGCAGTGCACATCTTGTCCATTTCTAGCATCCAATAGACTGGATCTTACAGATTTCCAAGTTCAATTACTGAAGTCCAGTACAGAATCAGTGTTAACCCAGAAGTTGCAAGTAAGTTCACCCCAAGTAAAAGGTGGAGTTTTCATCTTTAGCATAAACTGAATTGCATCTTTATGCAGAAATGTGGCCAGCTCCCCTCAGCCTTCCCAGCCCTGTTCTGGCAGCTGTAGATGTTTCTTAAGGTCTGACCCCTACATGAATGAGTAACGTTAGAAAAGCATCCCTGCGTTTTGGTGATGTTCAGCTGTTGGAAAGAAGTGAGAGTGCCAGCACTGTGAGAAGGGCCTGCTCCCCAAAGCCGTTGGACATCTTTTCCATGCACTGCAAAATGGAGTTCAGAAGTTTTGCTGCAAGGATTGCAGTTTCCTAAATGGAGTTCAGAAGTTTTGCTGCAAGGATTGCAGTTTCCTAGCATCATCACAGAAATATTTACCACTCCTATTTCAGTGCTGAAATACAGGTGCTGTCACGTGAACACATGGCCAAAGTTTTAAAGCTACATTTGTTCAGAAGGTAACATTTCTTACCAGGCTAAATTTTAATTACTTGTTTGTTTACTTTATTCATTTTTATCTTAAGAATATTAATTCATGTGCTGACATAATTCCAGACTGATTTGGAGGAACTTAAAATAAGGGGAATTAAAGTATCCCAGGGATCCTAGATTACCACACAGGGCAATCTGTGCATCAGAGGAATTCATACTCTTATGGATCCGTAATACACTTTGCTAAGTGGGAAGTTTTATAACATGAGCCTAAATGATGGCAGGGCGTGTATGAACACGTAAGTGCTGCCAGTGATTAACTTGTATTCATTTTCAATTTATGGAGAAGCAAGAATTGGTAACATCTTAACTGAGACAATATATTGCATTTATCTTTATAAACATGTAAAACCTTTTCAATACTCACTAAAAAACTATGTTGGGGCCTTTAACATACACAGTATATTGTATCAACAGTACTGCACAGCTGATTTTCATTCCTCACAGCCATCCTAGCACCACAAGTTTGTATAGGAAGTGAAATGTTTAGCGCTACTTTGAACTTTGGCAGGGGGGTTGGAACTAGATGACCTTTGAGGTCCCTTTCAACCCAAACCATTCTGTGATTCTATATCCAGCTTTACACGACAAAGATCTTTTTTTTTTTTTTTGCTTGTGTGGACAAATGATTGTGCCAGCAGAACTGAAAAAAAGTCAAACTATGAGGCAGCTTCAAAAATGTGCTGCTTGAATTTTCATAGGCTGACATTGCATTTTTTTAATTTTTTTTTTTTTTTTTTTTTTTTTCTTTTGAGTAACAGAAGAATTGTATGGCTTTTTCAATCTATACCCAAAGACGCACCGAAAAATCAAAAAGATGGCCGCTGAGGGCCATCACTACTTCCATGTAGAGGTAGCAGCAGCTATTAGGGGCATCAAGGCCTAGTTCTTGCCTGAGGGAGGCAGGAGCAAGGCTGCAGTCATTTCTGCTGCATGTGCTTTTCATCATCGCACAGTACAGAGGCAAAAATGCAAACCCTGGGCCCAGAATGAATACGCACAGTGAAACAAGGCCTAAAGCACGCTAGTTGCCTTCCGGGTGGGACATACGCCTTCAGATGACCATGCTGGACTTGTTTGCCTTAAGTGGAAAGGAATCAATTAAGAACATTGCAACAACATAGCCAGTAATACAAAAGTCTGGGTCCTTTATACTGCTGGTCGCATTTAAAGAAAAATACATTGCAACATTTTGCATCTACTATTGGCCATAACTATAGCAAAGTAACCATTTTTCTGCTATTAGAAGCACTAAATAAATGGAGCTGTGCTTTTACCATTATTTTAAATACTTTCTTGGTTCCATCTAAGTCCATACAGCTAGTGGATTTGACTCATCCTGTACTACTTCACTAGTGAATTTCTATATATTGATTATATTTGAACTTTTAAATTTCCCCCTTTTTTCTCTTCCAGGTTGATATGACTTCAGAAAAAAGTAAGATTTTCTTTTTTTTTTTTTTTCTTTAGATGTTATAATGCAGTTTGTATGAAAGATGATTAAGAATAAAGATAAGCATGAAAGAGAGCTAAGCTTTAACTGCTATTGCTAATAACATCAATACTTTAAAACTGTAATAGAAAACAACTAAATAACAAAGCAGCTATCCAATTAAATACATTTTAATGTACAAATTAACAAGTAATACAGTTTAAAACAGTTCATCTAAGCATTTACTTTCCTTTGACATCCCTAGTGATCCCGCTATTGCTATTTTGCTTGTATGAATGCTCATCCCTCCATTTTTTTATTTTGACCATTTGTTGCCTCATATTAGAGATAAATGACAGTATCACTTTTAATGAAAAGATAAATAATACTCCAATATATTTCATTAAATACAACTGTGCAAAAAAGTGATACTGTCCAAAGTAATCAGGCTGTTTAACCCTTCTCCCTGTGCGCGCCCCCCCCCACTTACTGTGGTGAAATATGACTGGAAATACGACTGCTACGCTTGGTGCAGCATATATACCCTTTGTGTGTACAGAATCAGGCCATTATTATTAGAACCTGAGGGTGAGTGGTTCACAATGCCAAAGATCTCCATTATTGAAGGTGCAAATCAAACAAATACATGTTCGGTCTGAAGAGTATCCTGTTTTCAGACGCAGTGGTTTCTTAGATTGTTTTAGGCACATAATGACTTCTGTCTTGTTTCCAGTTTAAAGTGCAACGCCTTGTCTTTAAGGGTTAGTTATTATCAATGTGCTGTGTACATGTTTAAATTGGAAAGACAACAGCACCATGATCCTGAAGATCAAATGGATGATCGTTCCCCTATAACCTCCTTTGTCTGAAGCAGAAATGCTTCACCTAGAGAATAAAAAGACATCAGGCTGACAAAATAGCTAATAACATGGTGGGAAATGGCATTCACCATGATTAACAACATTATTAGTACCAGATTTTTGCTCTAATTCATTATTATTTGCACCAGGATGACTAATTTCATCAAGGTGGAAAAGACACGCCATAGTATAGCCAGCAGAGTGGAATTTCGGTTGTGCCATGACTCATCTTGGGCATGGGAAATGGGCGGTGGATTCAACAGAACAGTAGAACGTACAGGTGAAAGAGGGCTTGAACAGCCCTCCCCTTGCCACGCTGATTGACTCACTCAGTGTGGTATGCCCACCCTAAGGAAGGTGGCGGGATGCAGGTTTGGTGAGGTTGCTCAGTTGCGGCTGTCACAGACTCATCTAAATGCAACACAGCACACAGCCAGAGTTTTTGGTGACTCATACTGGATGAATGAAAATACCAGTCAGGTAGCGATTTAGTTTTGCCACTTCTTCCTTTGGCTTGATGGAGAACTAGTTTGAGAATTAGGTAGAGCAGCTGCAAGCAGGACAGTGAGAGAGAGAAACTGTTCCCAGGAATCCTTAGAAGTGTAATTAACAAACACGGAAGAGACCAACAAGTGCCTGCTTAAAGACCACTGAGATGGCTCACATCAGGATATCCAAATTGCTGGAAAACAGAATTACAAGCAAGCAACTTCTTTTCAGGCAGTTAGCCCAGTTCCCTTATACTTCTGCTAATGGTCGTCTTCAGTTGAAATAACTTCTAATTGCAGTGAGGCAATCTATAAGTGACTGATTTTTTTTTGGCCCAGTAGTTGTGCCGTTCAGTAAGAAGTAGGACTTCTACTTCCAGCTTACTGTCTATTGATTGCACAAATGAGACAAATATTTCACCACAGTATGTTTAACAAAATTTTCATGTACCTTTAATTTGTATGATTAATTTTTAGAGCTATTGTTTTTTAACTGGAAGCTACATACGCAGCAGCATTTGCAACACCTTTGCTTTGCATGGAAATAACTTGCCTTACATGAATTGTATGTATGTGTCTAGTGTGACTGTCTCTGATTTTTGGTTGCCATACATTACATTTTTTAAAACTTTGAAATCACTTCTAAGTTGATTCACAGTTTTTTATTATCTCTCCTTTCCTTCTCTGTCCTCTCTTTCCTCAGTCAATTCATTAGTTGTCAATGAGGATGTTCCAAGGAAAGGACCATGCCTCTTAAAACAAAAGAATGTTTGTTTCATTGTTTAGGTGTGAAATCCCCTTAGATGAAATGCCGGTTTGCAGCTGATTCAGATTTCTACCTATTTGATCCTATTTTAGATTACTGCAGAATTACTTTTAACTTTTTATTTTGGTCATTAAGAAAAAAAATGTTAACGCAACGTTATTCTGACAGTTTGCTAACACTGGCTTTCTCTTAGAGGAAATCGACTTTCAATCAGTTCTAATGCTTTCCCCCTTTTTTCTTGTTTATTTTTATTTGAACATTGATCTGTAACATCTGAACAATCTTGAGATGCCTATCTTTGTGTAACTTCACTGTGTTTCTTCTGTTTTTAGTTTTAAATTCTGTTGTTGTTGTTTTGGTTTTTTTTTAGTGATGTCCCAGTTTGGTTTATTACAGCTTTGATAATGTACGTGTGGTTGTGCTATATTGACACAGTTAAGCAAGTTATTTCCTGCCATTTTCCCATTCAGTTGTGGTTTTGTTTTGTTTTTTTTTTTTCCCCTGCCCTGTTAGCTTTGCTTTGCTCTTGTACCCTCAGATCTTGTGGATCCACCATTCCCGGCCCATTTTGTTGACCTTCCCACCACTGCAACCAAAGACTGTCATTTTCAGTCCTGATTACATTTTCCAATCTCTATTTTTGATTTCCATTTTACTTTCAATGTTTTTCATTCGCATCAAAGATGACGAGACAGAATCGACAGAAACATCTATCCTGAAAAGCCATCTGGTTAATGAAGTCCCTGTACTAGCCAGTCCAGACCTGTTGTCTGAAGTTTCTGAGATGAAACAAGATCTGATCAAAATGACTGCCATCTTGACAACTGACCCCTCTGATAAATCAGGCTCCATTAAAGTGAAAGATCTTGGAAAACCCGCTGAAGAAGAGCCAGGAGAGCCTTTTGAAATAGTTGAGAGAGTGAAAGAAGACTTAGAAAAAGTAAATGAAATTCTGAGAGGTGGATCTTATACCAGCGAAGAACATGTTTTGCAGAAGTCTCTTTCCAAACAAGAACTTGTAGAAGAAGAATGGGTCATTGTCAGTGATGAAGAAATTGAAGAGGCCAGAAGGAATGCTCCTTTAGAAGTCACTGAACCTACCTGCGTAGAAGTCAGGGTGGACAAAGGGACAACAAAAACGGAGAAGCCAGACATGACAGGAATGGTAGACTACCTTACAGAGGATTTAAAAACATACGTTTCTCTTCACGAGGTACAGCCACAAGCCTTACAGGAAGACTTAGTAGAAGAGAGATTTGAAGCTGTAGTGATAAGCAGGGATTCTGAAAAAGGAGGACAAGAGTCTCCGACCACTGAGGCACAAAGTCCGCAGGAGCAACACAAGCCAGCCTTAGACATTAAAAAGCCGGTTAGGACAAAATTAAGAGACAAGCAAAAGCAAAAGGAAGGCAAGGTGCACAGCAGCGAGGAACAATCGGGACGAACGAAGCTCGCTTCAGACGAGTCAGTAGGTGAGGAACCTGGCTTAACACCGACGAGTGCCCCTGAGGCTAAAGCTGTGTCCCCTGTTATCGAGGAAACTCCTATTGGCTCAATAAAAGATAAAGTTAAAGCTCTTCAGAAACGAGTGGAAGATGAGCAGAAAATACGGTCGAAACTACCTGTCAGAATTCAAACCAGAGAGGGCACTGCTGAAAAGGCTTCTAAAAGACCAGCGCAAGTCAAAAAGCCGGTGGGGCACAAAGTGCAACCGCCTGTTTCACCGTCTTCTAAGACGGAAAGACTTGAAGAGACCATGTCAGTTCGTGAGCTGATGAAAGCCTTCCAGTCAGGTCAAGACCCCTCCAAGAATGTATCTGGACTGTTTGAGCACAAGTCCGTCAAACAGAAGCAGCAGGTGCCCGAGAAGGAAACAACACGGAGAAAAACAATTTCTTCACAAAGCGAAACAAGACGAGTATCAAGCCACAAGACGGATAAACAGAAAGACAAACCGAGCACGATATTAAAAGCGGAGAAAGAGCCACAATCAAAAAAAGGAAAACTGCATATTTCTACTGTTGAAATTACCAAGAAAGCTGTGGGTAAAGAGCAGGTAAAAGCGCAGAGCAAAAAACCAGCTGAACCTCTCCCTCCAGTGTTTGATGATGAAAGTGCCAAAGATACGGCAGCTGTGAAGGGCAGGACTTGTGATGACCAAGGAGATACCGACTTCCAGATCAGCCCCGACAGGAAAACCTCAACAGACTTCTCTGATGTCATTAAAGAAGAACTGGAGGATAATGACAAATACCAACAGTTCCGACACCTTTCAGTGACAGAGGAGGGAGAGCTTAACTTGGAGCAAGTACTGACCAGTCCTTTCAGCGTTGCTTTTCCCACAGAGTACGTGAAAGATGGATTCCTTCCTGCTCTTTCTCTGCAAAGTGCCGCTTTTGATGGGAGCTCAGAGAGCCTCAAGCATGAAGGTGTGGCCGATTCTCCAGGTAGTCTGCTTGATGGAACCCCTCAGATCAGCTCTGAGGAAAGTTATAAGCATGAGGGTCTGGCAGAGACTCCAGAAACAAGCCCTGAAAGCCTTTCCTTCTCGCCAAAGAAAACCGATGAGCAAATTGAAGAAGCTAAAGGAGCAGCTAAAGCACAGACAGCAGCAGAAACATGTTCTCCGAAGGAACTCTCTCCAAAGGAAGATGAAAAAGGTATTACTCAAAGAGAGCTAGATGCTGTTACTGAGACTAGTAAGTCTCATTCTGACCATGTATCAGAAGAGCTTGTACCTACAGCCTCTGAAGAAGAGGCTGATAAACTTAAAGAAAGTAGCTCAGCTTCCATTATGAAAGATATTAGCAGGGATAAAGAATCCACAACCACTGCACAGTTAACTTCTGAAACACATGACACTGCTTTAGAGAAAGAAAAAGATATAACCTGTGAACGCCGTGTTGTGGTTAGAAGCCCCCAGAAATTGGAACTTTCACTTGCTAGCCATGATAGTGAAAGCTTTAGCCCAGTTGCAGATGACTCTGTGGCGATAAGTCATAAAGACTCCCTGGAAGCCAGCCCAGTGCTAGAAGATAACTCATCACACAAAACGCCTGACTCTTTGGAGCCCAGTCCTATGAAAGAGTCTCCCTGCCGTGATTCCCTTGAAAGTAGCCCTGTAGAGCAAACAGTGAAGGCTGGTATTTTGGGGCAGGGTCCTCTTCAGTCTGTCCTTAGCAAAGGAGACCCCTGCCCAGAGCTGGCATCGGTGCGTTCCAGGATTCTCCGTGACCCTGAGGGAAGTGCTGATGACGACAGTCTAGAACAAACATCCCTCATGGAGAGTTCAGGGAAAAGTCCTCTTTCGCCTGAAACTCCTAGTTCTGAAGAAATTAGCTATGAAATCACACCTAAAACAGCAGACTCGCAGGCACTGTCGAACATACCAAAGTCAGCTGCGATCCCTGAAGTCAGCGAAGAACCAGAGGATGATTCAGAAAGCGAACCAAAGAAGAGATTCACCCCTGAAGAGGAGATGTTTAAAATGGTGACCAAAATCAAAATGTTTGATGAATTAGAACAAGAAGCAAAACAGAAGAGAGATTACAAAAAGGATGGTAAGCAAGATGAAGCTTCTGTAGTGGCTGATTCAGAAGGTGCATGTGAAGCTGAAGAACCACAGGCCACAGCTGCAGAAGAAAAAGGTATACCTACAGTGGCGATGTCTGCAGCCGAATCTAGAAAAGGTTCTTCCTCTTCAGAAAGCGAGCCGGAATTGACTCAGCTCAAAAAAGAAGCCGACTCAGGCCTCTTAATGGAGCCTGTGATCCGAGTGCAGCCACCCTCACCGTTACCATCCAGTATCGACTCCAGTTCTAGCCCCGACGAAGCAGGTTTTCAACCCATCGATTCGAAACAATGTTCTATCACGATAGGTGCAGTGCAAGCAGAACAGGAGAAGCCAACAGAAGGTGACAAAGAGGAACCACTTGCCCTTGGGAGCAGCTGTAAGGCTTCCACAACAGGCTCGGGCACTTGTCATTCTGATGGTTGCATATCGGCAGAAACCGACGAATCAAAATGCGGCGGTCCGGGCGACTGTGAGATGGTTAGTCCTGACGGCCCAGTCACACGGTCTGGGGGCGCTCAGTGTCATTCCACATGTGATGGTTCTCGAAAAGAAGGCCACGTTGAGTCTTCACTGACATTACAGCAACATGGTACTACCGAAAAAGATGTCAAAACCGCGGCATTGTTAACACACACAGATCTCATTTCTACAGGAGCCGTGTCGGAGAAAGTAGAGGGTAGTTCTTGTGGACACGCTACCTCTGTACCACAAGAGGGCAAACTAGCTGAAGACGATACCGCTGGCCATTCTGCTTTGGGAGAAGCAGATACAGATTTTGAAACATCTCGAAGAGAAATTCCTGCCGAGGACCCCTTGGCAGAGTATTCATCCTTTGCCACTGAAACGGTGGAACTTGAAAGTCATGTAGCAGACGCTGCCGAAAGCAGCACTCCTTATATAGTAAGCCCTTACGAAAATGTCTCTTCTGAGCATTTCTTTACTGACTGTGAAAGGAAAGTAGGATCTGGTAAAAGTCTGCTATCTAGGGAAACCTATTCTGTTGAAGAAGGACAAGAGCAGACCAGTGAGGCTTTACTTAGCAGAGATGCAGGTAGTGAATATCACTCCTCAGAGGAAGTATATATGGAAATAGAGCCAAAACCAGAGGGTGCATTTCAGGATATGTCACAAGGGTCATCAGCATCAGATTCCACGAAAGTAGCTGAATCTGCCCTGGAGGATCTAAGAGATGAAACAGAGAAATTGATGGGTCAAGTTGTCATCACTAAAACTGATGTGGATTCTGACATGTGGAGTGAAATACGTGAAGACGATGAAGCTTTTGAAGCTCGGGTGAAAGAAGAGGAACAAAAGATATTTGGGTTGATGGTAGACAGGCGATCGCAAGGCACAACACCCGATACAACACCGGCCAGAACACCCACCGAAGAAGGGACGCCGCTTAGCGAACAAAATCCTTTTCTTTTTCAGGAAGGAAAGTTGTTTGAAATGACTAGAAGTGGAGCCATCGACATGACCAAAAGGAACTATCCGGATGAAAGCTTTCACTTCTTCCAAATGGGGCAGCAGCCTCAGGAAGAAGTCTCTTTATCTGAAGAAGTGAAAGAAGCAGCAGAGGTGGAATCTTCTAAGATGAAGAGCTCACCAGGTCCATTTTCACCTTCAGAAGCAGAGGACTCGGATATACAAGAAAAAGATAAGTTAAAATATTCACCCCCAGCATCTGAGTCTAGTGATAAATCAGAAGAAATGACGGGTGAAGGTGTCGGCGTAGGCACCGCAAAAGCAGATCTTAAATCCAGAATTCCAATTAAAATGGGTATATCAGCTTCTTCAAAATCACCAAAGAAAGAAACTGCTGCCTCTGAAGCTGAGCCCCTCTCCAGAATGGAGAATGACACAGTTGATAGCAGTCAGGTGCCTTGCCCTACCTCTCCTGAGGAGTCCGTAGAGGAAGATGAATTAGATTTTTCCAAAGTCACTAGGTTAGTTTGTTCTGAACAGGGCGACGAGTCCCCGGACTCTTCTCCGGAGGAACAGAGATCTGTGATTGAAATCCCTACTGCTCTAATGGAGAGAGTGCCTTCTTGTGAAAGCAAATCCAAAATTCCTGTAAGAACAGTTGCTGCTGCATTGCAATCCTTGCAACAATCGGAAGACGAGGGCCTTCCCGCAGACGGCTTCCTAGATGGTTTGCAGTGCGAAGGAAAAGATGACCAAGCGAAACCAAAGTCTAAAATTCCTGTTAAAGCAGCTTTCCAAAAAGCTGAACAGTATACATACACAGACGCATCTGTCCGCACGCTGGAGTCACCCAAAGCTCTTGACACGACAAGTAAACTACCTATGAAACAAGATAACCGCAGTAAATCTGAATCTGATGCAAGTATTCCCATGGACCCAAAGACTAAACGTTCAATAAAAGCTAGGAGTTATGCCGAGGCAGAAGCAGAGACCAGGGAGAGGGAGAGAGAGATGAAGCTTGAGCTAGACTCAGATGAGGCAACAACAGCAAGACCCAAGGTATTTTCATCGCGGTTGCCAGTCAAAAGCAGAAGCACTACAGCCTCCCGCAGTGCTTTTAGTCCCACCAAAGAAAGTAAGGAACATTTTTTTGACCTTTACAAAAACTCCATAGAATTCTTTGAAGAAATTAGTGATGAAGCTTCTAAATTAGTGGAAAGACTCACGCAGTCAGAGAGAGAACAAGAATTAGTTTCAGATGATGAAAGCAGTAGCGCCCTAGAAGTTTCAGTTATTGAAAATGTGCCATCCAGTGAGACTCAGCAGTCAGTTCCTGAAGACATCTTTGACACCAGACCCATTTGGGATGAGTCTGTAGAGACTCAGATTGAACGTATCCCCGATGAAAATGTCCATGACCATGCCGAAGGTATTTGCCAACGACTGGGATTCCCTGTGCAACGCATGTCATTAATTAAACTTTTTGGTTTTTTTGTTTGTTTGTTTTCTTTGGGGTGTGTGCGTATGTATGTTTGTATACACGTGTAATGTGCGTGGCATTTTCTTTTAAGCTTTTGGTGGTTCGTTGTGGTGTATTTTTTTTTTCCCCTGTGAGCTGTGTGGTTTTTTGTGTCGTGTCTGTATTTTTCTTGTCTGTGAAACAATCTCAAGATTGCAAACCATGAACACTCACGGGAAGCGTTACCCTACTAAACAAACACGCTTCTAAAAATACATGTTGTTTTACCGCTAAACCGATGGCTCAGGTCACATACAGTTTGGCTTTTGGCTTTCCCTGGCCCTATTCTTAACTATTACTTTTTACTAACTGTGAAACGTTTGGGCATTGGTTGAAACCGAGACAGGCAAATTCATTGTCTTTAGAGTTGTTACGCAAAGAAATCTGCAGAAGTTTTACACAATTAAGTTTTTCACGTTCCTTATTTTGATGATCTGCATCTCAGGAAAATTCTGTCTCACCAGTAACTGTAGAACAAGTTTTCTGGTGTTTGGTTTTCCTCTCACCTGCTTGTGTACTACTACTACTACGTAGCCACAATGGAAATCCGGTAGCTAAAAGGAAACATGCGTACATCATTGACGCTAAGCCATTTTCTGAATCCGAGATACTGCAATCCATGCGTGCGTTCTGGGAAAATCAAAACTCAAATTCTGCCATCCTCAAATTCGCTTTGGGGATGGGAGGAACAGTGAGTCTCACTGTTCCCAAACTAAATGAAGACTGGCGAACAAACATCTTGATTTTTCCTTGCCTTCATTGTAAGTATTTTGTATCACTCCCTAGTCGAAAGGGTCAAAGACACTTACATTACATTAACGGTATCTCAAAGACAAACCGTAATACGAAGCACTATGTGGACTCTTTGACCAAAACTTTTTTTTAGAAAGAACGCGATTAGAAGCACTGGTCCAGATGAATTTTTCAACCTTTTTCTAACGAGGCATGGAACATTATGGCTCTTGACTTGAAGTTTTCCATGTAACGTTAGAATGAGGTTTTAGAATAAAATGCTTGGCCAAAATAGGTGCAGTAGGCACTTCAGTCCATGTTTAGGAAAACCTGATTTTCCAATGGGAAAATATAGATAGCCTTGGCTTTTTGAAAAATCAAGTGGTTTCTTTTAACCTGGGGATTTACACTCCTCCCTTTAGTTACCCAGTTGTAGCAGCTTGCCCACATTTAGATTACAGCAGTTAGGGGAAAAAAAGCACTTCCCCTTCTTGGGCTATATCGCCTATGGAAATGGTTTTTAACTCGTAAAAGGCAACTTGTGGCTCTCTTTGACCTTTAGATCAACAGGATGATCAGGAAAGGACAGAGGAAAGACTGGCCCACATTGCTGATCATCTTGGATTCAGCTGGACAGGTAAAATGCATGTTATCTACTCCAGAGAGAAAGGAAGGGGGGCATTCCTCGCTTTTTTCGTGGCTCTTTCAGATGATTTCCTGATCATCTAAAGACATTTTGTGGAACTATTTCAGTAGCTTACTGTCCTCTAGTTACTAAGATTCCTATAGCCCATCGGGTGAGAACTTGGGTGCAGAGGTAAGGCCTCCGCACTTGCTGTGGCATCTCCAGAGGGAGACCTAGGACGAGAGGGTGACAAAGAGCTGGCATATGTTACCCTACTCTTTCTTGCAAAATGCCACTACTCTGCCTGGAAGATAAATGAGGACAGGAATAAACATCATCTGTGTCGTGGAACCTCTGAGCCGGAAGGGCACTACAGGGATAAATGACATCAGCTTTTTTCCTCCAGAACTGTGCTGAGGAAAAAGGGATGAAAAGGGACCTGTTTGTAACGATCACTTTAGTGTTGTGGGTTTAATAGATCTGAGACAGTTAATGTTACAGGGGACGAGTGAAAGCAACACAGAATGTAATGCAGATGAAAATCAGCTCAAAAGTGTTTACAAAGAAAGAGAGCTGTGCAGAAATCTCCATCCTGTGTCAGACTGTGCAATGCCGCAAAAAATAGCTGCCAAAAAAAAAGTTAAGTCGGGTCTGCACTTGTTTTGTATCTATCCCTAGAGCAGTACCACACTCCTGAAAACAAGCAAGGCTCTAGGAGTCAAAGAAGAGTTGTATACCAGAGAAAAAAACATTAACTCCTTCATTAGAAGGTTGTGCTCTGTGCTGGTTTTATAAGCATCTTCAGAGTATATGTGAAATATCACTGATAGTTTTCCTTCTGTTACTCACCTCTTCCGTCCTCTGTGCCAATCCATAGAGAAGACTGGGAGCATACGTCACTCATCCCAACATGGATCATCTTGAAATCTGTAGGACTCAGACCTATGCAATGTAACAGATGAGGAACATGCTGAAAATTTTATATAAACAGATAGACAATTCTGAAAACAAAACTTAAGAAAAAAAATGAGTGCTCATCAAAATAGACATTCATGTTTTATAGCATCGTACATAAACGTTCCTCCTCTCTTGTATTATGGTGATTATAGTGAAGATTGCTGTGTCAAGTGTTACTTTGGAGGATAAAATAGCAGTCGCTTTTTGTTCAACCTTAATTGACTCCCTAGGATTTGAATCCAGTGTGTAGTGACCATAGATGTGTTGAAGTTTGTGGTTGCACCAGTTTACAAGCCGGCCTGGAAATAAGGTCATCTGGAGTTGGGGGCTAGGCTTCCCCTCCACCCCATTGAACTGTAACACCCTCCAAAATCTAGTCTGTGCCGCTCTAGCGATAATGGCAATGGAACAGAATAGGAATCCTTCTTTGTGAAAGAAGCAGAAATCTGGAGACCAGGAGCAACAGTAGGAATCTCACAAATTCTCCACGGCTTTAACTCATTTGATGACCTGATTCAACAGCTGCCTCCGAGTTTGGTGGTGGCAGAAAGCTGCTCCTGGTTCTGGGTACGATAAAGATGTTACAGACTCTGAAGCCATTGCTTTTTTCCGGACTGCAGTCTGAGCCTACGCTACTCCAGAAAGACATCAGCTATTCTTAGTTTCACAGTTTCAGGTTTTGGTTTTCAACTGTAATACACAGACGTTTACTTTTCTTTAAATGAAAGAAGTTAAGGGGAGTAGTAGTATTATGCTTTAATCTAGCCCTACAAAGTGCCGTTACTTAAAATGAATTCTTTTACTAGGTTTTGATCCATGTTCAACATTTAAGAGGATAGAATTTGCTGAGCATGGTGCTCTGCAGCTAGAATTATTTTCATCTGCTCACGTGCTAGTTCCACAACTGTGCTCTATTCAATCGCTTTTCATTGCTAAATTTTGTCAGTAGTGTCGTGCCTCTGAGAGCTAGGAACGGTGAGCGAAAAATAAAAGCTCACACAGACCCGTCGCTTCTAGGCACAGTGCATTTCTGTCTTTGTCACAAACTTGCTGTTTAACGCTGTCTCTAACACAAGCTGCATAGAAGCAAAGAGCGTTTGGTTTCAGAGGCTTGTAATGCACTTTGCTGCTGCCAGCTGAAAGAAATGGATGGAAGGTGAGGAAAACCAAAATTATAGAGACGGATTTCTTTTTCAGAGCTAGCAAGAGAACTGGATTTCACGGAAGAGCAGATTCACCAGATCCGAATTGAAAATCCTAATTCGCTTCAAGACCAGAGCCATGCGCTCCTCAAATACTGGCTGGAAAGGGATGGGAAACACGCCACAGGTTCGTTTTGCAGCTATAGTATGTATAACCATCTCCAGTTTGCCAGTGGAAGTGACAGATCTGTGTTAATATCGCAAAAAGAATATGTGGGTAAAATTTAGGCCATAGAAAGAATGACCGTGGAGCATACTTAAATGTTTTTAAGCTTGCCTGTATAATGTGGCATGTCATAGAATTCTCAGCGAAAATAGTTTAATCTTGTTCATTTGAGGGCAAGGTGGAACATCTTACTACAGTAAAGAAAGCGTGGAAAAACACCGAGGCCTCTTTTTCCTAAACTGGAAAACGTTTGGGGAAACTACTAAACAATTTTGTTAGAGGGAAGTCCCAAATGAGCGGTAACTTGCATAAGGCAGCCCTTCCGTTAAGTTCACATTCAACATAGCAATGCTTCTGTGTACATCGGTATTTTATCTATGCTGTTACATTGGTCAGTATCCTGTATATGTCCTTCCTACGGAAAACGGAAGGGAGAGAGCATGTGAAATTCTTAACTCAGCTACGTGGTGTCATTCTAATGCCACAGATACAAATCTTACCCAATGTCTTACAAAAATCAACCGGATGGATATCGTTCACCTAATGGAGACCAGCGGCATAGACTCCATGCAGGTCCACGGCACTCGCACGTACGCGGAAATCGAACAAACCATCGGACTGGACCACAGCGAAGGTACGTGTCTGCTGGTCCAGACGGCCCAGGTTGTCTCATCTAAGCACTCGCTTCAGTTCTGAGATGTTTGGTTAGGATAATCTGTTAACTCTTGTGGCCAAGCACTAGAATGTCATTTTGAAAGCACAGATAATACAGAGGAATGCAAGCGTGACATCACACAGGTCACTATGTCACCGGGTAGAAAATCTCTGCTTTTGCTGATTTCTATAATGTGAAGAAAGGAGTGTCATCGGAAACTACTGCAAAAACTTATGCCCAGTTTGTTAGGGTGGTTTTCTTTTTGCTGTACCAGTACTTTCAGAAAAGTTAAGGAGGTTGCATTGGGAAAACTACTCCATGCTCTGGAAAAACCTTTGGAATCAAGTATCAAGGATACTGTAATTCTGCTATCATGCTGTTTTATTTCTGAAATGTCAAAGTTCTGTGGATTACAGCAATGGTTGTAAACTAGAGAAACACCTCCAAATTCTGTGAAATAAAGTTATCTTTTCTGGAAGTGCCAGTTTTACGTCTTTATAATGAGCTACTTCTTGCACCAGTCCTGTAAGAATGCCTTTGTCCGTCCTTGTGTAGTTATTTTTTCCACAAGCAGATACATAATGCATTGGAGGAAAAAAGTCTGATCTGGTGGAAAAAAAAAAACCTGTCCTGAGTCTCCTTTCATACTTGGAGGGTGTCAAGATTAATTCCTCTAGCTAAATGTCCGGGCAAATTTTATTTTGCCTGTTACTGTCAAGACTTGTTATTTGGCAGTAGCGGTGGTAATCCAGTGTTCCTTCAGCTACTCAGACAGGTCGTGTGGTACCGTGTGCCACCCAGGGATTTTAACTGCACGTGGAGAATGAAAAGGACTCGTGCCATTCTAGTAGGACCTGTAATGCCGTTTCTCATCTCTCTGTTTTTTAAAGGCTTTTCTGCACTGCAAGACGACCTGTACAGTTCCAGACATAAGCAAGAACAGCAACACAGAATGCCTAGAGACAGTGAGCCAACTGAACACCCGCCCATAGTCTCCGAGGAAGATGTGTCTGTCAGTTATTCTCCTTTTCCTGAGAGTACTCCCCGCAGTGAGGCAGAACTATCAATGGCTCAGCTCTCAAGACAAGCGCAGAAGGAACAAGTAGAAGCTGAAATCTCAGGGAAATCCCAAGATGTGCCAGATAAACCATCAGCTTCACAACATGAATATTTGTAAGTGTGAACAGGTCCGAGTAAAAACTTAATCTGGGCAATAAAAGCATTTTGCATTGTTGTTTGAGACAAACAAAGCCACTAAGGTTCTGTTCTCTGACAGCAAGCCATACCGCAGCACTCGCAGCTGGAGGTAAGACGTGGCTTACAAAAGGGCACTGTAAAGATTAGGTGACAAAGGCAGCTTTTCACAGTGACCACAAATAGCACAGCCTGTTTTCACGTATTAGCAAAGCAGTGTTCCCCTCCACATGATGGCCCTCGATGCAAAACAACCATCAGTTGCAACTGACCCGAAACAAACATACAGTGGAAGTGTCAGAAACACTGGCTGGAAGACCCTCCCTCCCTCATTCCAATATATCTCTTTGTAATCAGTCTACCTCTCTCCCCTGAAAATAAGCATTTCCAGAACAGTACTTAAATCCATTCTTCCATCATGACAATCTTCCACTGCATTCAGATGTCATTCCTATCACAATATGTATACAAATAAATATTCTTAACACATGCCATCACAATAGCTAACCTCCAACCCACCACTCACACCTTCTCCAACATTCACCGCGAATCAGAATCAACAGTATGACTTAGGCTCACGCACTCACATGAGAACACTTTAGTAACTAACACAAAAAAAATACAGCAATCACAATAACATCTACTGACAGTAACAAAACCAGAAGTAACAGACAAATAAATCTCAACAAAAGACAACTGAAACACAATACAACTGATAACCATTCACCCCTCTTAGCAAACAGCACTACAGCGTACACTATCCCTTTCCTTACTTTGAATCACCCCACTTCCTTCTACATCTTCTCCCTGACACACTAGGGCAAAATGAAAACTCCCTCGCTTGCTGTAAAAACACCTTTCCAACAATCGCATCACTGTGTTCTCAACACGCTTCTCGTACTAACTACTTTCAGCATAGAACACTGCAGCAGCTATTACAAACAAAGCTAACTCTAGTCCAGCAGAAGCCACTTCTATTTATAGCTATTTCCAACCACTGCATAACACTAACATCCCGTGTACCTTTACTTCAGTGTCACAGCTCCAGGAACAAAACACACTACAGCACCAGGCACTGGAAAAGCCCCAAGCACACAGTCTGCATGCTGCACTGTGGCAAAGAAAGAGACAGAAAAGCCATCCCCACAAACACCATCATCTGCTCAGAGAGCCGACTCGCCCATCATCCAAGAGCCTGATGACCCCCAACTCCACCAGGATGACCTCTCTTCAAGAACTAATCTACTGATAGTGGAGTCAACTGATGAACAGACACAAGACCTTGGAAGGGACTACAGAGAAGAATCTTTAGAAAAGGTAAATACCAACTTTACCTCACAGTAATTGACACTGAAGTATATGTTTTATATCTCGCTCATTCCTCAAGATGAATGTATGTACACTATCTAAATAATCTATATCTGCAACTGAGTCTTTTCTCCTTTACTCTGCAGTTATAAGGAAGTGCTACCTATAGTCATTTCTATAGAGGATTTCAAAGATGAAGCGAAACCTAGACTGTAATTCTGCTAAGTGTTCTGCTACCTTTATTGTCCTTACACTTCAATCCTGCATACAACAGGTTTAGTCTAAATAACACACACAGAAACTAACCATGCCCAAGTGAAAGCTGAAAACCAGACCAATTGAAAGACAAAGTAATAATAATAAAACCTTCTGAAAAAATGCAACCAGCAGGTCAAGGCAGATGATCCTCCCACCTGATCTGGTGAGATCCCACCTGCAGTGCTGTGTCCAGCTCTGGGGCTCCAGCACAAAAAAAAATCATGGCCCTGCTCAAGCAGGTCCAGAGGAGGCCACAAAGATGCTCAGGGGGCTGGAGCACCTCCCGTGTGAGGACAGGCTGAGAGAGTTGGGGTTGTTCAGCCTGGAGAGGAGAAGGCTCCGGGGAGACCTTAGAGTATCTCTCCTGTACTTAAGGGGGCAATCGTTTCAGCAGGCCCTTCTGTGACAGAACAAGGACTAATGGCTTTAAACTAAAAGGCAGCAGATTCAGACTAGATAGAAGGAAGAAATTTTTTACAATGAGGATGGTGAAACACTGACAAGGGCTGCCCAGAGAGGGTGTAGAACCTCACTCCTGCAAACATTCAAGGAGATGTTGAATGGGGCTCAGAGCAACCTGATCGAGCTAAAGATGTCCCTGCTCACTGCAGGGCAACCCAAACTGTGCAGTGATTCTAAGAATGACATGAGAAATACTGTAAAGTTAAGTTAATGAGATGATAGAAAAGGGGCAGCAAAATGTACATTGCTGCGTACTAAGGATTCTAAAAAGAAAAAGCCAGGAAAGAAAACAACCTGAGAATGCTGTTTATGTAGCGTACAGACAGTAAGGAGAAACGGAGACAGGACATGGAAGACAAAACCAAAAACTACGTTAAGTTACGTCATTGGTTGTGTAAGACAAAAGGAACCTTACTGCAATGTTTGCAGAGGAGAAGGCGTCAAGAAGCACTGAAAGAAAGCAACTATGAGGAACTACTTGGCAGATAAAGGTTTAATAATAAACAGCTTGCTTTGCCTGTTCTAAGCACAAGGAGAAGGAATAATGGGGCAGGAAATTAGTTTTATCAGTAGCGTTAGAGCAGAGGAAGCACAGCTCTAGTTAAGCAGAAATTCTTCCCTCTTTTGACATTCACCTAGGAACAGGCTCCTTAGCTGTTCATGTCAACAGATGTACCACCTCTAGAAGGAAGAGTTTCAGACCTCTGCCTCTAGGATCTCAGAAAGAGGTTGAATGTAAAGCGTATAGCATAACCCAAATGTTGAAAGATTAGCTGCCACAGGACCCAATGCGATGTCTGCTGTAAGAAAGACTGCTCTCAAAGATCCTGTCCTACTTTCTCTCCAGTTCTTTTCCTCAAAGTAAAACAACAACCACCAGCACCAAAAAGAAACACATGTACCCCCTGATTTCTTTTACCCTTTATGCTTTCATGCTGTTATTTATTTCCCAAATAGTACCGTTCAGCTTCTCTTTGCCTTCTGATGTCTCCATTTAAATTTTTAATTCTTCCCTATGCAGCAAAAAAAAAGAACTTCCAACACTTGTTACTAATTTTTCTTGAACTTTCCAATGCCGAGGCTATCGAGACATTGTCTTTTTTAGTCCTACTGCCTATATACTGCACCAGGTGCTTCCTGCCACAGAGGATTGAAAGGCTTTCGTATCATCTTCTCTGTAATAAATACAGAAACCATATGCAATATGTACGAATTCCAGAGTTGGTGTTACTCTTACCTTCTAGGACACCTGCAGTGATGTCATGCCACAAATTTCAGGCTTCTCCCTGGCAAGCTTAAGAACACTGAGACCACCAAGAGCATCCTATAGAATTAGTACCGCAAAGATTCCTCCTCCTTTTTCCAACATGACAATAAACAGCCAACGTACGGTCAAGTGGCCGTAGCCTCCCACCCCACATCCGTGTCTCACTGAGTACAGTCAGGTGAGAGGCCAAAATCCTAAAAGCAAAACTTTTCAGAAGTGAAGATGGTTTCAGATAAAAACCAAGACAGAATCTGTACGTGCTGCTAGTACCACATACAACAGAGTGCTGCTTTCATCTCCCACTAGGAGTTAGCCAAGGAGTTAGGTGGGCTGGAGACCAGCTCGGACGAGGACGAGATGGTCACTACCAGGGTCATTCGTCGCCGGGTGATTATTCAGGTACCGAGTGTTGAACGACTGCACGAGCCTGTGCTGACTAGGCCCTGGTAACGCCTTGAGGTGTGCTGCTGGGACAACCGCTCGGCTGGTATTGCGCCTCCAGCTGGAATGCTCCAGACTAATGTGTGGACATTGGATAAGCCGTTCCAATACCCTTTCTTAAAGGAAAATAATATATAATAATAATAATAATGCTGCTAACCCAACTCCACATTCCCCAAGATTCCTCTGTATGAAGAAGACAAAGACACCTCAGCCCCATATACGCCTGTCAACTAACATACCTTTGCCTGTCCGCTGTGCCATAACCAGCATAACCTTTCTTGGCATGCCTTCCCAAGTATTTGCTTGCAGAACAAGATTTTTTCTAACTTTTCTCTTTTTTTTTTTTTCAATCTTTAACCAATTAACCCATTTTAAAATTACTATAAGTTACACGCATGAGGGCCTTGCTTCATAAAACTTTGTTCTTTGTCATACAGGCTGATAGTATGCCTGAAATGCCACCAGAAACAGTCACAGAAGAGCAGTATACAGACGAACATGGCCACACAGTGGTAAAGAAGGTATTGTCAGTCGTGTCCCTTGCTACCTTCCCACTGTCCTAGAAAAGGACGGATAGATACATCCACATACATGCCAAATTTTCTTAGAGCCAACGAACCAAGAAAACCACACTGCCGCAGTTTTATCTGAGATAATCTTTGCTCGTACAAATGAAGCCAATGGAGAGCTAGGTCTGCCAGTCCAATCTACGTACACTTTAGACCTACGCCTGACCTGGTTCTGAAATGTCTGTATCCCACACTGAATCCAAAACACAGCACTATTCTAGCTACTAAGAAGAAAATTTAGCTCTGTCCCAGCCGAAACCAGGACACATGTCTCTGGGAGGTGTGTGATTTCATATTAAAATAAACAACCCCAGCCAGATACTCCTGGGCACGTTGTACAAGAGTGAGCATGACCGTGTTCCTCTGGGCAGGTCCGTGCCTGCAAGGGCACTACCCCCACCTTTGCAACTCTTACATGTAGGTGACCCACTCTGATTGAGCATCCCAGCAAGTAAGCTTTTGGACAAAAGCAGGAACCGTGCCTTGTCAGAAGGAGCTGGGAAGGCATACGACAGTGTAGAGCCCCAGGTCATCCACAGATGGATGCATACCCATCCTCCTGAGAAATTTATCGTGACTTGAGCCCTGTACTTCTCCCAGACTCCTCTCTGTTTGGCTCGCCACTGCCTAGAAAGCTTAAGCACCAGATTAGTCTTTTAAGTAGGTTAATTCTAGCTCACTAGTTCAGCAGTGGGTACAACCATTGGCGTTACAGTGCAATGTCTTAAGTACTTCTGTGAATCTAGTTGTAAGCGTTTGATAGCCAATCCACTAACCTCTTACTTTCAGAAGCCTTTTTGAAAATGCCACTCTGAAAACATTTTCTAGCAGTTGTAAAGTATTTCTTTTCCTAATAATAGAAACAACTGCTGCTTTAGAGAGTCATTCAAAGATCTACATTGTTCCCTCCTGTAAATCATGGAAGCTTTGCTGTGTGGTAACCTAAGCAGGGCGAATGCTCGCAGCTTTACTACAGGTACTTGTGAGTATACATCTTAAAGAGCAAAACACTGAACTGCCTATGTAGGTTTTCCCATGTAGAAAAAATTGCCCTTTGAGTAGAAGATACTACACAGAGAATAAGAAGGAATACGTTATCGTTGATTCTTTCGGGACATAAGACAAAGGGACTATTCCATCCCTTCAGGTCACTAGAAAGATCATCCGGCGATATGTTTCTCCAGATGGCACAGAACAAGAGGAAGTCCTAATGCAAGGAATGCCACAAAAACCTGTCTCTGTCGAAGAAGGAGATGGCTATTCCAAAGTTGTAAAACGGGTCGTGCTGAAGAGCAACAGTGAACAGTCAGAGGTCAGATCTTCTACTTTCCTTGCGATGGTACAAAGCAGCAGTACGCTGACAGCATACTTAGGAGCTACATCTTACTCGTGCCAACAACATTCAGTCCTGAATGATACTTGAAACAAGTTTTCTTGCAGATGAAACGGCCTCAGGATAAAGACAGGGCAAAGGCAGGAGGCGGGCAGAGAGCGCACACAGTTTTCTCTGAAAATAAGTCCAGATACAGATCCTGCAATTTACGAGAAGTGGCAAATTCCTAAAGAAAGCAGCGTTGTAGTATGATGATATATAAGTGGCAAATCTGTACATGTTATTATACCTCTTACTCCAGGAAGAAAATTAGCAACCGTTGTAATGAAACCATCTGCTGTTCTCTACGTTTCTAGAACTAAATCCTTCTAAAACTATACAGTTATCTTAGGTTCAACTTGCCCGTGTGTTCTTTGATTTGGAAAGGCTAGGGAAAAAAAAAAAAAAAAAAGGCTTACTTTCATGCAAACTGTTTGTAGAGCCAGGTAATTAATAAGAACAAACAGCCTGCAAAGGTAAGTGCTTTTCAGTTTATCTTTTCCCATCTTAGTTCACCATGGAGCCCTACAGGCATTTGTATCAGCACAATTAAGGCTGTGACAGAGGGCCAGAAGCTAGTACTATGGCTTGCTCTCAGCAGTACTGCAGCCAAATGCAACATTTAGCAAGCGGTCATTAGAAACCCAAAGCAGCTAATTGCCATTCTTTCGCCAGAATTAATCATCATAATTACTTATCTAGGAGTAAGGTAACAAGAAAACAAAGTGATTTTTTTAAGTTAGCTGACCATACCAGAACTTCTCTTTATCATAGGGAACCCACATACGTTAAATTTGTATTTTGCCAAGTAAAATCGTGTTTGGCCCTCTCCCATGGTATTCTGATATTCTGGTCTGTTGCTCCTGTAAGAGTTCCTTGGTTTTACAAATGCAACTTCCCCTCTCTGAAGCTTATCTTACGATACAGACTGATGCCGCTAGTTCGCACTACCTGTGTGAATACAGCAGGGATTCACAGCAAGAGGTCCACTTGTCACTTGGTGTAACGCCAGTGGCCTCAGCACGTAAGCCAGCACAGCAGGCTGCAGCGTGGCGCAGGGTAGCAGCATCTCTGCTACCCTCAGGCTAGCTCAGGTCCCAGAAGCTGTTTTCACCCTGCCGCCACTAAGCTTCCCAGCAGAATAAATTAGCCAGGACTGTTGCTGCCGTCTGAACTGGCACATATCCCACAGTGTCTCGTTCCGGAGATGTGGAGCAGGTAATGAAGCGTACACGTGTACAGTAACACGTACACGGCGAGATTTCTTGTATGGCAACGATTAGGATAGAATGATAAACTAAAAGCTTTGTTAGTATCCACTAGGTAATTTATATCCAGTATACTTCTGCTTTCTAACCTTACAGGTGACCCTGTCTGAACCCGCTGTTTTGCCTAGTGCCTCCAAATTCCAGTCTGAACCAGTGGAAGGCCGGAAGGTCAGCAAAGTCATCAAGACCACTGTAGTGCAAGGAGAGAGAATGGAGAAACACCTGGGGGATGCTAGCTTAGCTACTGATCTTCCGTCAGCCAAAGAGGACTTTGAAGAGGTAAAAACACCTTTTAGATATAAATATTAAAACTAGTGTCACAACATACCTGGGGGCAGGTTCTATTCCGCTGAAGATTTTGTTGGTGGAGCATCACACTCAACTACTGAGTAAGAACCTCTGTTATTAGACTCACCCATCTTATAAAAGGATTAGTATATCAAGTGTACGTATGGGAAGCCAACTTGACAGAATTAGCTATGAAACCTTTTAAGATTCTAAAAAAAACCCATGGCAGCTTTAAGTAAAGCTGTCAGAAATCACGGGTGTGGTTGAAGTTTATTCCTATGTTACAACACACCAGAGCTAATTTTAGAAATTGATAATAATTGATATTAGGTCTACTCTCTGGGCAAGCTGATGTGCTTGTCCTTGAAAGGAAGAAATAGCTACCAAGCTAAATAGCACCTTTCCTGGCTTTAGACTTTTTCTGTTCAGTTTTTAGACATTTCAGTAATAGAACAGTGACACTCAACTAATACAGCTTTTTCTATAAGGAACTGGTAGCACTTTACTCTTAATCCACTTTATTGTCCCTTTGAATAACACGTGTAAAACATCTCTTAAAGATTCACGTGGACACAAGTTTTGTGTCATTAGATGCAACGTAAGTACTTGGTTTGGGTTTTTAGTTTGACAAAATATCATGTAAAAGCATAGATGCAACAATGTCCTGGTCTAGATATTTTCTGCCGCACAATGGCATTGCAGCTTGCAGGAAGACAACAAGCGCTAAGCTGTTAGACCGAGATGCCAAATTTCCTGTTACAGATAATAGGCCCAGCAGCCAGATCCCTCGCTCCTGACAATAACAAAACAAGCAGCAACAACTGTCAAATGGAGATTCAAAGAAATGGCTTGGGAAATAACACTCTTTTTTTCCCCAGCTTGCAGCTTCTAGTTTAGTAAATCTAGTAGCCTGCGGAAACCTTTCCAGCCAAAAGGAAAATAAAAATGCTGCCTTCCCCCCACCCCCATTTTTCCATTTTATATGAAGTATTAGTAACAGCAGATATTCTGTGGAAGAGTTTGCCAGGCTCCATTCCCTGCTGCTCCCGTTGCAGTACGGTCAAGGCCCAGAAGCATCACCCACCCTCTCCACATGTACCTGCCTGTGTACAGCGAGCGCTGAGAACAGGCACCTCAAGGTGATGGTGGGAACGGCTACAAGAGCGATTTCTGTGACAGGAAAAGGTCACTGAGGCAGCTGTTGTAAACTGACACAAAGGAAGAGTTCTGCAAGCATGGTAGCCAGCCCTTGAGTTGGGCTACTTCAACGTTGAAAAGCAGGCACCAAGCCGTGCTTCAGTACAATTAGTAGTAACGTGACACTGTCCTGTACAAGAAACTAACCAATCTGTACGTTTAAGGACTATTTGAAAGGCTGCAAAGAGTATGCAAATGCTTCTCTCATCTGTCTATTCATTATTTCCTCAGCATTCAGCTTCATTAATATAAAACACAAAGTTATGAAGAGCAATTATCTTTTGTCCTAGGTTTTTGGGTTTTGTTTTAATGTAAACTTTATATTTTAATTTGAGGCTTTGAGCTATACAGGTAACCAAATGAAAGTCCAACTCCCTGCTTTAGTAGAGAAAGAAATCATGACAGAGGACGGATCAATTATTAAAAGGTTTGGCTTGGCATGTCAACGAACTGTTACTAGAAAAGGATTAACAAACTCCTAATAAATGAGTGAATTAAAGCGAGTGTCTGAAGTGAAGCCACTGGCAGCATCTAAAGCTTTCTTTGAAAAAGTACTAAAGACAGACAACTACTAACATCCTGTTACGGGAAGGGGTACGATGCGCGTGGCGGAAGGGGTACGATGCGCGTGGCGGAAGGGGTACGATGCGCGTGGCGGAAGGGAAGGGGCCACGTTCAACAGCTCTGTGAATAGGGGTGTGGTGGGTTCACCCTGACCAGCAGCCAAGCACCCCACAGCTGCATCCCAACCCTCCTGCCCCATGTTGGAACGGGGGCAAATAGGAACAGCAAAAGCGAGAAGACTTATGGGTTGAATGAAGACACTTTAAGTGAAGGAAAGAGGGAAGAACCACCAAATGAGCGATGTAAAGGCCATCCCTCATGACCTCACACAAGTAGACGGATACCCAGCCTGACACTGAGCAGTCATCACCTTGGAAGATACAACCCCCTGCCCCCCCCAGCTTCTTCCACTACCCCCTATGTTCATGGCTAACCATGATTCTATCCAGTATGGAGCATCCCTCTGGCCAGTTCAGGCCAGCTGCCCTGGCTGTGTGCCCTCCGAATCTCTTGCCCACCCCCAGCCTACATATGGAGGGGGCCAGCAGGGGAGAGAAAAAAAAAAAAAGAGGTATCGAGGGTGTGTAAGTGCTGTTCAGTAGCGGCCAAAGCATCGGTCTGCTGTCAGCACTGGTTCAGACCCACGTGGAAACCAGTACACCACACAGGCAGCTGTGAAGACAGTTAACTGCATCCCCGCTGGCCCCAGGTCAAAGGGGTTCCACCGCCGAGCATAGGAGGCAATACAAGAACAGCAGCATCATTTACCCTTAATGACATTGATCAAGGTTACCTCAAAAATATTTTTCGTACCAGTTGACTCTGTGATCATTTGATAGTTTGAACATTATCAAAATAGATGAGAGGATATACAGAAAGCTATAAACACACACACACACGTGTCAGTTGAGGCTTATGAAGAATGAGGCAGGGCAGATATAGGAAAATATTTTGGAAGAAAAAACAGCTACTGTAGCACAGCAAACGTATTCATTCCTACCACACACGTGAGCCAAGGCTGCTACAGGCTGGGTGGCTCTCACACAACTTTTCTTTCAGACGAGTTGAATCGACAGCGGCTGTTGGGGCAGTAAAGCTAACCTTAGCATCCGAAAGGCCATCCTGACCAAACCGTGTCCGCACTTGTACCAAGCTGTAAAACACGTACCAGTTTCAGAGTTCGAGGGATGGTGTCACAGGGACCCTCCAAGAACCAGCAGACCTGCTGCACCTGCTTTTGGATGAAGGGCACACATTCTTGTCCAAGTGCTCCATCTAACAGAGGGACCTCTGGGTCATTCAGGTCAAATTAAGAAGTATCAGCTGTCTGCTAAAAATCAAGCTATTCTTGGCTGAGCACGCAGGAATTTCCAAGTGCACTTGGCTTCCCACAGGCCGCTCCCAAGGGCACTGACCAAAAAATGGGCTTCTGGGTAAGGCTAAGCAAGAAACACCCAGCTGTCCCATGGCAACTACACTGATTTGCCTAGATCTGGTAGGGGCTTGATGACCTTGAAGGTTCTGACAAGTACAGCAAGACAGGTCCAGTGAGGTAAGGGAATAATTAACAAAATAGTTTAGGACTCATGTAGTTTTACTGGCTGTCAGAAGTAAGACTTGTTCAAAAGTAAGCGTTTGAGAAATTAATCAGCTTAAGTTACTGCTGTACATGACAACTCTGTATGTTGAAGTTAAATACAGCACAAAGGAAGGTCTTGTGTGAATTTCAACAGAGGTTGCATGTCTGTGTGTTACGGCACGTTTTGCTGGGCATCTAAAACCATATGCTTCGTCAGCATATAGAGGTTAATTGCTGTTCGTTCGCACTATGGAACACAATTAAAGCGGTGGGGCGTGGTCTTTTCAGAATGTGTAACGAATACCTGACCTCAGTAGCCGGCTTAAACTGCCAGCTGCAGTTCTTCTCATGTTGTTTTAAATGAAAATCCCTTAAAACTGCAGTGGAAAAAAAGCTTTTTTTTTTTTTTTTTTTTTTTTTAAAATAAAACCTCCAGGAACTGTGGGCTTTTAAAGACAGTTCTTTCATGTCTTTTGTTTTAGGACAACACTGAGTAAAGCCAGCACGCAGAAGAGGACTGTGATGAAGGATCGGTACGGAAAACACGTTCACATAGAAGAGCTGGAAGACACACCAGAAGCACTACCACAGGATGACCTCCAACATGACCTCCAGCAGCTTCTCAGACACTTCTGCAAAGAGGACTGGAAACAGGAGGCGAAGTGAGAAGCTGCCACCCCTCCACACCACCGCCTAACCACCCACCCACCCCGAACGCAGCATTCATCTTCTCTAGGTGTAGACGTTGTTACCTACATAATCACTGGAAGACACTGCCATTTCTACTCATGCAGACGCAGTGATTTCATTTCTTACCCCTTCCCCGTATTTGATTTTGGGTTTTTGTTATTTTTTTACCCCGTAAGCTAATTTGTGACCAAAGATAGCATCCTTCATTCAGGATGATTTATCCACCGAATCGTCGTCTTTGTGCTGTACTGGGAATTTGTCAGCATCGCCACTTCTTGCTGTCCCTTTGCTTCTGCGCTAGCTTCATGAAGTTGCATTTGTCAAGCCCACTACATCTACAGGCCTCTTCGAGTGACTATGTACATGCATCATAAAAAGGGAGTTAACGTGTAAACTGTATATAGCAAGAGTATTTGGACTTACAAGACTGCAGAGAACACACTGCCTGTGACTACGATTAGCATCATGGATTACAAGGTCTATTGACACTGCTGAACAGCAATTAATAACGTAACGTTAACACGATCGACTGCGAACACAGACTGACTGAGGAGGAAGCACTGCAGATATACTGCATCCATAAGACTTCCAGTTTAGGGATCTGTTATAGTTAAAGGCTCTAAGAGTCAGGCTCAAAAACCTGGAAATTCAGCTGTTGTCATGAAGTGACAGCTGACTGTGGCCATTAATACTTTTAAGACCGTCGGACAGCCACTTAAGAGATTTCCAGAAAAAGAAAAGAAAAAAAGAATACCCAATTAGGTAACCAACTTGCTAGCAGCTATATCTATGGCACATTTGCATACGGTATTAAAAAAAATCTTTTAGATCTGGACACGTGGCAGGGCGTATTAAACAATTATAACTACAGTAGTTTCCTGTTTCCATCACTGCTTAGCGAACCACACGTTCTTACTGGTGGTACTTCCTGCTGGCCACTGCACTGTAGATAACTATGGGAGAAAGACTTACCCACTATACAAGGAGAATAATTAATTCACCGTGTTTTATCAAGATCGCCTCTTATCCGATACATGCATGTGGCATTTGAAGGTCAAAACCAAACCCTCCTATAATCATGCCAGCTTGATAGCCCTCTTAGCACTGAGCGAGCAGTTTTTATCTTCCAATCAAGTGTTTTTTAAAGAGAAAGTGCTCACGATCCTCAAAAGCCCGTTTCTGTTCATATTTTATCTATATATATATATAATATATATATTTCTAAATCAACCCTCTGAAAACCATGATAGCATGTCTGCACTTTTGTTTTCAAAAAAGGGAACACAGAGATCTGACATTTTGGGTGTTCTATACCTTAATCTTTAACAGAGGGAGCTCTGTAGTGTTTTAGCGTATATAATACACACATACACACACAAACACACTAACTAAATGTTTTTAAACAGCTGTTGATTTTTTTTTTTAATAGTATACTCAAAGCCCGAGTAAAACAAATCCTCTCCTCTAGGAGTAATACTTTTTCCAAGCTTATCTGGCCTTCTACCTTTACAGGGCGGTTTGGTTTTTTTTAATGACTCACTCAGTGCTCAGAACAAGGGCACTTCCTCATTAAGGTATCGATGCCATAAGCATGAAAACATCTTGGGAGTTCTGGCTTCCTGCAGGCAAAACTACCCGAGGTGCCATGCTAACGCTTTTTTGGCAGGCAGGCAGAAGGAAAAAAAAAAAAAAAAAAAAAAAAAAAAAAAAAGAGGAAAAAAGCGTTTTGGCAGCCAAACCGAATGAGACCCATGATGAAGCATTTCACAACGCATCATGGCTTTCTTATTGTCACAGACAGCACAGGATGATCTTCAAGGATGGGGCTCTAAAGAAATGCATTTCTGTTGTGTTATTTGCGGTGCAGATGATGTTCTGTGTAACAACATAATGGTTATTCACCTCTTATTTTGATTTTTTGCTGTGTTATCAAAGAACTTGAATACTGTGAGAAGAAGTGAATTTTAAGTTGACGAATCAGCATCTTGTTCCCATGGTGATAACACTAATTGAATATATCTATGAGGGCATGTATTAGTTAAAAATTAAAAGAATACAACACTAACAATACATAGCTGCAATGTGTACAATGGCTGATTTAACTAAATAAAAATGTACAAGTGTTAAATGTAGAAGTAACGGCTCACTCTCTTTTACTGCCAGTGCAGCATGACAAGGAACAGCACCATTTGGGTACCTCAGCTGAACTATCACAGTTCTAATTCTGCAGTGCCCAGCTCCCCAAGATTTTTTTCTTTTTAATTCAGCACCAATTGGTAAGTGTCAGTCAGTTATAACAGTCAGCTACAGTTGTTGGTTGGGTTTTTTTTGTTTGTTTGTTTGGTTTTTTTACATTGTTGTTATTAGTTTTTCAAAGGGTATCAAGCCCTGCTTTCTAGTTTGTTATTTTGGGCCTGAACTTGCAAAGTTTTCCTTCAGACTGTTTGTCCAGTCAGTTGCTTTTCCATGCCTGCTACTGAGTTTCTCAACCAGAGGAGAGACTGGGAAGGAAAGTGTAGGCCAAAATTCTGACACATCTTACATCCTTGTAATGCACCGAAAATATTGGGAAGAGTCTGTTTTGTTGCCAGTTTTAATTTATTCAGTATCAATCTGTACCAACTATTACTGCAGCCGGATCTCTGGCTGATGATGCCACAGGTCACACCACCGCAGCATCCCCACCTTTGCTATTTGCTCGTGCGCTACCTTCAGGGCTGTCAAAGGGCTCCCTCTGCCTACATCTCACATAACACAGAAACCATCCAGGTCAGCAGTTTCTGTATTCGCCAAAATCCCAGATCAAGGGACAAAAAGGGCCCCAGGGAGGCACCCTGGCACTCCCCACCCAGAGCAGAGCTTGCACCCAGATCACGGCAGGTGTGGGATCAGACCACAGCTCAGTCCTGACACGGCAAGACACGTCATGGCTTACACGTTTGGGGACAGTACCTAAGCCAAAGGCTAATGACCTTTTTCCTCTCTTCCCCCTTCTTTTCCCAAGCAAAGACAATTGTATTAAAAAAAAAAAAGAAACAACAACCAAACACACATCAACAATCAAACAACAAAACCAACTCAAAAACCCACACAAGGAGCAAACCACCCCACCTTAAAGACAAACCCCGCCACCACACCACCATGGCATTACCCTGAGGACAAATAGGAGATAATTGCAGAATGCGGATTTGCAGAACACGAACACAAACTTTTCCCCTTATTAAGTTTACTCTAACAGAACACATAAAAGTGGCTTTATTTCTTCCAACCTCTTACTCTAGTTTATTTAACAAACTTCATTCACAAGACAAAGCCATGTAAAGCATAAGCAGCTCCGAGGCGGCCGCCACATTTACAGGTGGACTCCAGGGTGGGTGCCAGCATGGAACGCAGTCACCCACAGCCACGCTGCCCAGCCACGTGAACCCAGGCGAACCACACTGCCTGGTCTTCACACCGTGACATTCAGTTATGCTGGGGCTGTGGGGAAACGGGACAGAGCTCCGAGGTAGGCTGTCAGTGGTTTAGGATGTTTTTAAACCCTTGCCTGATTGGTTTCAACCTCACTATCAGCACTTCCCAACAGAAACACTATTTTGCTGACAGACTTTGGCCAGTTCTGCTAAATAACAGCTGAAAGTAAACACCTTTTACACAGTCACATTTTTTTTTAAGCAAACATAACTTGTTAAATCCAGGGACTAATCTTGTGCTTGTCGTGGCCTGATTAATGGCAGCAACAATTCAGGTACTAACTCATTCTTCCTTCCCACCCTGAAAAAAACGAAAGGCTTTGTTTCTGTATATGGATATACAGCAGCCAGAACCTACTTATAAAAGTGTTTTATAGAAATGTTTGTATATCAAGTTTGGTTTTGTTTTTGTTTTTTTTTTTTAGTCTCACTATAAACCTCTAAGCCAGCTCAAAAATATGGGCATTATAATGGAGCAGAGCCTCTGTTATCTCCTGCCTCTATTCTCCAGCAAACCCTGAAAGACAACAGTTTGGATCTAAGACCAGCAGAGCACCATTTTGCCCACCCTTAACCTCACCTCTGACCATCCTGGTGCTAGCTACCGCTAAACAGAGCCACACAGCAACTGCGGCAGTTGTCTCCTTGTATTGATTAGGTGGTACCACGCCAGCAAAATGGGGATAAACTAACAAACATATCATCCAAGACATCTGTCCTGTGAGATTTTTTTGTTTGGTTGACATATTCCATAAGACTGGAGTAGAGGAGCATCCTGGCAGGCCCTGTGGCTGCTCTCTATATCATGCTTGCTACACCACATTTATTTTCAACGCAAAGAAATGAGCCAGAAACCCCAGGAAGACTGAATTTACAGCTAACAAATCACATACATAAGCAATGTATTTCATAGGTACAAGATACATACTCCACACACGACAGCCTATAATTTCAGGCCTTCAATAGTGAGCAAAGAACAACATATTTCCCTGAGGAAATAAACATAGATAATGGCTTCACCTGCACCATCACCTTAAAGCCTTCTCCACCATATCCCAGCTATGAACTTTGCAATTGCTACAGCACACTGGCATGGAAAACAGCGTTTCAGAAAAGCCCAAAGCTAGAACAGTTGTCAGGTCTCAAAATATCTGCTAAAAAGGACACCGGTTGTTGTGATTTCTGTTAGTGAAGCAGTAGCACCAGGAAAAGACCCTCTATCCTCTTTGCCACTCTTTTTCAGCCCCCTGATGAGATTTGGGTTGTTTGCAGCAACAGCAGCACTGTGTACGGCCCACCTCAGCTTTTCCTGTCAGGTCTGCCTCCTGCTCCTACCCATAACAGACCAATTAATACTGCACAGGACACCATCAAACACAGGTTGCTTTAACAGGGGGTCTGCAGAAGAAGGGAGTGAGTCAGACAAGCTGTAAATATAGCCCTTGCAGAGAAGGCAAGTGGAAAAAACATTAACTTCAGTTACATGATGCTCAACTTCTATACAGCTGAAGGGTAAAGATCAAACAGGGACCCTCCCCTATACCAAAATCAAAACCTAAAAAGGATTTAAAAAGAGCAAAGCGACACACAGAAATATCTCATTCCAAGTCATTAACTTGTGTTTGTGCTTTGCTCTTCACGTTTCATTCAGGATCAGGAGCATTATCTTCCTCTTTGTAAGAGAGTAGGGGCTGTTCAGCCTGGAGAGGAGAAGGTTCCGGGGAGACCTTAGAGGGGCCTCCCAGTGCTTAAAGGGGGCTACAGGAAAGGTGGGGAAGGACTCTTGATTGAGGAGGGTAGTGATGGGACGAGGGGTAACGGCCTCAAACTGAAAGAGGGGAGATTTAGATTAAAGGAAGAAATTTTTTACTGTGACGGTGATGAGACACTGCACAGGCTGCACAGAGAGGTTGAGATGCCCCATCCCTGGAAACATTCAAGGCCAGGTTGGACGGGGCTCTGAGCAACCTGATGTAGCTGAAGATGTCCCTGCTCGCTGCAGGGGGGTTGGACTAGATGGCCTTTAACGGTCCCTTCCAACCCAAACCATTCTGTGCTATGACTGTCCCTTGAAACAACACAAGTAAGGGGAGTCAGTCCCAGCCTGTTTTTTGCCATAAAAATCAAAAACCTGCATTAACCAGCAGGTCTGAAGCAATTAATAATAATAAAAATAATCACAACCCCCCCCAACCCCTCCACCCCGAGTCAAACCAAACACAGAGGCAAAGCACGAGGGGCACCTGGAAGAACAGCTCTTTT